CATAATCAAGCCTCCCACCGCCCCCACCCCAGGCATGCCCACAGACAACCCAATCTAGTCAGTTCCTCACTGACTCTTACTAGGTGATTCTATGCTGTGTCATACTGACAATTAAAACTAACCAACTATCACAGTCCCTCACCAAAGCATCCTTTCTGTCCCCTGAAGCATATCTAGGCTTGTTGGGGTTGAGCGAGTGCCTGAGCTTCCTCAGCAAGCTCTTCCTCCTTGTCTCTGTTGATTGGAGTCCATAAGCAAATGTTACTCTCTGTAATTCCACACACCATGGTCCTTTGTAGAGATCAGCTGGACATCCCAGCCAGTATCCCCAGAACACAGCCAGCCCAACCAGTGTATAGAATAATGTGCATATTTCAACTATTCCTAATCCCAATAGTTTAAAGAACTCCTTTAGTGGAGTTCTTTCAGAACCAATTTATAGGGCATACTAATCACTTTGTTAGTGTATTAGGAAAATGTTGGCTGCAAGCTGTATTAAACCTAACCGTAATAGTTTAAAAAAGTTGGGATGAGGGGCGGATATCTCTTTTGTAACAGGAGTCTAGAGGTGGGTAGCCCTGGGCTAGTTCTTAGAAACCCAGAGACACACTGGGCTTCTGCTCTCTTCTCTCAAGTGTGTTGACTTTCATCCCACGCTGTAGGGTTTACGAGAGGTCTCTGGATCTCCAGGCATAAGGCAGACTTCCTAGGTAAGAGTCTGGGAAGAGCAGCGAGCAGAAGGATTGTGGTAGGCAAATTTGCCATACTCCATCAGGAAAGCAGGTGCTTTTACCACATTCCCACTTCAAATTCAAGTTCTTGGGAATGCCCACCGTGGTGACCACTAGCTAGGAGGTGGCTGAAGAGAAGACATTTGTCTGTGGAGACATTTCCAGGCTTTCTTGTCTACCTTATCTGCCAACAAACGTAGATCCCAAAGCTCCATGACTGCTTTTGTAAATCAAAACTACGTTCAGAGATTAAGGCAGACCCCTTAAACAAGTGTCTCAGGTGTTTTGAGCAGGTGAGTAAATGTCTGTCATTCCAAGAGTACCCTTGAAAGGAAGCACATTCATTTGGGCACTTTAGAAAAAGCATCCTGTAAAGAGTGTCCCCTCATGCTTTATGTAGTAATTGGCAGGGACCCAAATGTCTATACCTATGGCATTTCTTTGTGCTTACTGCAGCAGCTGGGTGGACTCTGCGAAATGTCAGGAGCGAGGAAGAGAAAGAAAACATTAAACTCTTTCTTGGCTGGGCAGACCTGTTAGATGTTAGCCACTGAGGGATGTTTTCTGGCATGCTCTATCGGAGTATCAAGGAAGTGCCTGGAGTGGGGTGTTTCAGCAGCTTAGATTGGGAGTGGGAATCTTCTCAACAGAAGGGAGCCTCTCTGGTTTCCTTGAGAAGCCGCCTACCTCAGAGACACCACAGAGCATTCATTCTGTCCCTTCTCCAGGGACTGCGCCCATCTCACGTGCTGTCTCCTTCTGCCACAGAGTTTTGAGTAGCCAAGCATCTTGGTGTGTGCAGGTGTCGTCCGTGAGATCTGTGAGGTTCAATGCATGGCCATGTTTACTTCATCCCAGCCCTAGGATTCCCAGGTGGAAGCATGTGTGGGTGCTGTTGTTGACTCACAAAAGGACAGAACATGATTCATGAATTCCTTTGGTCATTTGCTAATATGTTTTTATTTGTCAAATATCTACTGGGTCTCCTCTATTTGTCAGCTACTGCCAGAGACTCCAGGTTCCTGCTTGGCAGGAAGAGATCAGAGAGGAACAGGGAGGAGAGACAGATGTATCATCAGGTGGCCTTGGCACAAGCTAGGAGCCCTGTGGAGGGAGGGCTTGGGGATTTGGGGTTAATCAGGGATGGTAAGGAATGTGCCATCATGGAACCTCCATGTGATCCATTTAGGATCAGCTGAGAGGGATAAATAATGTCTCCAGAACATACAAAGAACAAATGAGGTGCCTTCTGAGCAGACCTCAAGGCAGGCTTTATGAAGAGGGTAAAGACCCAGCTGGTCAGGTTGAAGGAAGCACTGTACAGACAGATGGGACAGGTAAGGAAAGGAAGGTAAGAGAAAAGATCAGGTTTGACCGGAATCTGAACTCACAGTGGGAGGGAGACCAGGCAGGTAGGGTGGAGGCATTCCGGGGAAAGGTTTGTATTTTGTTTCTAAGCAAAGAAATGACATTATACCATGAGTTCGTAGGAAGAAATTGAGCTGAGGGGAACCAGGTGGAGAGAAGGAAATCATTTCCACTCTTGGGACATTGCTTGTTAAACAAGTTTTACCCCTGCTGAGGTTCTCTGTAGCAAGGAGCAGTATAGCCCAATGTATTCATACAAGCGCTGTCTCCACACTCATCCTGAACTTCACCTTGAACCCCTAATAATCTCAGGAATAGCGTTTGTTGGTAAAGATCAGGTTACTTACTTCAAAAATCAGTAAAATCCTTCAAAAAAGTAAGTGCGTGTGTGTGTGTGTGTGTGTGTGTGTGTGTGTGTGTGTGTGTGTGTGTGTGTATGAGAGAGAGGGTAGGGGGAGACTGAAGAAGAAAATAGTTTGGGATGTAATCTTGAGCCTCTGCTTTTTGAGAAGGGTTAGGGGTGACATTGGGATGGAGCTCCTGCTGGGGGTGACAGACCCTCAGAGGAGGGTCCTGGGTCAAAATTTGACTGCTTGCTCAAGCAGTCTGAGTGTGAACAACCAAGTGTGTTCACTCCTGGCTTGTGGAAGCAGCTCTGTTTAGCCCCACGGTTAAGATGAAAATGTGAAGTTAGGAAAGGACCTGGGTGGCCTTTCAAACGTCCCCAGGCTTTTTATCTGAAAGTACATAGGAAAGGTCAACTATATTTATTTATTTATTTATTAGAATATCTTTTATGTATTATTTGACAACTTCATACATGTACATAACGTCTCTTGATCATATCCATCTTGACCCCCTTCCAACTCTTCCTACACACCCCCAACACACCCCTCCCATCTTCATGTCCTGTCCTTTCTATTAGATTTATTTTACTTTATGTAGATGGGAGTTTGCCTGCATGTACATATGTGCACTGTGTGTGTGTGTGTGTGTGTGTGTGTGTGTGTGTGTGTGTGTGTGTAAAATGCCTGCAGAGGTCGGAAGAGGGCACTGAATCCCTGGAGCTGGAGTTAAGGAGCGTGGTAAGCTACCATGTGGGTGTTGTGAACCCGACTTGTGTCCTCTGCAAGAGCAGGGAGTGCTCTTAACTGCTGAGCCATCTCTCCAGCCTTCTCCTCCCTCTCTCCCTCCCTCCCTCCCTCCCTCCCTCCCTCTCTCCCTCCCTCCCTTCCTTCCACAAATATAACCCACCAAATCTAACTAGCGCTGCATGCTGACTGTTGACCGACCTTGTTGTCTTGACTTTGTCCAGGTCTTGCGCAGGAACCAGAGTGCTGTGACTTCATGAATGCCATGGCCTTGCTGGGGAAGGATTGATATATATGTGCCACTTAGGACTGAATACTCAACAGTCTCTTAGTCTCAGCGCTTTGACCAGCTGAGTCTCACTGGTGCCTACTGTAGAAAGGGGCTTTTCTGGCTAAGGCTGAGAGGGTCTAGTGTTTCTCATGGGGACAGTGATGCCTGGAGCACACAGGAGGTGTTAGAGCTAGAAGAACCAGATGAATAAGAGAAACAAGGACTGCTTCACTAAACCCCAGACTCCTAGGGCCTGGGGTCTGCAGTGAAGTGGAAAGAGGCAGCATTGGGGGGTATGGTGGCATATTGTTTTATACAATGTGAGGGACACTAAGGACGTTTTGTCCTCCAGCTCCACAGTACCATGAACATATACACAAGTGTGAACAAAATTATATAGCTTCCAGGGTGCTTGTCCCTCCCACTCAGCAGGTTAAGGTAAGCATGTAGTGTCTGGGGCTGTGACTCATCAGTGGATGTTGTCACTGAGAGTCAGCGATGCTGTCTCCGGAGGTGGCTTTCAGGAGCCTGGGAGGTCTGTCTCACGCAGAAGGGTGTTTTCGATCTGTTTCTAAATTTACTCAGACATGCAAAGTGATCAACACCAAGCCCCGGGATGTTTAACTTCTCTTGACTTTCACTCCTTCTGCTTTAAATGATGGTGATTTCGTGCTCGTCCCTATCGCAGGGGAATTATAACCAAGGCTCTCATGGTGAACTCTGAAATATAAAAGGACCATTATACTCTACACAGATCATGCAGAATCAACTGTCATTACTCAAGGCCATAGTGGGAAAGGATCGCTCACTCGCTCACTCACTCTCTCACTCACTCACTCTCTCACTCACTCACTCACTCACTCGCTCACTCACTCGCATACCTTATGTGCTCCTGAATAGCTTCAGCGTTCCTCCCCACCAAATGTATCTGAGTTAACAACAAATGCGACAGAAGGACAAATTCCTTTCTGTTTCTCTCTATTTCCCTTCCACTGACTGGGAACCTAGGAGCTGTGAAGTGGTCAGCATGCAGGGCACAGCAATAGGGATGAACAGAGAGTTTCCACGCCTGAGGAAAACCCTCCCAATGAGGCCTCAGGAGCTGAATGTGTGTGCACTTCAGCCACGAGAGGAGACTGCATGCGTGACTTAGGTGAGGGGTGTTGTGCTCTTTGGTTGACTGTGTCCTTCCAAGACTCAGTGCCGGGCCCCAGGCCCGGTGTGATCATGCTAAGGAGGGGACCGTAGGCACCAGTGGTCCTCTAATGGGGTGGGAGAATTAGCCAGGTCCTTCAGCCCACTGCTTTTCTGTCATGTATAAACCAGCACCAAGCAGAGAAGTAGAAATAGGGACTCTCACCGATACCAAGTCTGTCGGCTTCCTGAACTTTGCTAAGTACATTTCTGTTATTGATATGTAACCCACGCTCTGGAATTGTATTACAGCCAAAGTCAGTCTACAACAGACATGAACTCCGGAGTGATGGGGACAGTGAGGGTCTGGCCTGACAGGCTCCTGTCTCCTCTGATTCCTTGCAGGTGACTGTTGGCTTCTGGCAGCCATTGCCTCCCTCACCTTGAGTGAAAAGCTGCTTTACCGAGTGGTCCCCAGGGACCAGAGCTTCCAGAAGAACTATGCAGGCATTTTTCATTTCCAGGTATTAGGCCTTGCTTGTGACTTTGGCCACCACTTTTGTAACTTAGTTATTACTTCAAATCTGTGGAATCAGAAACTTTGGAAGTGAGGCCAATACTGATGTCAGATTATCCCTCTGGGTGACTTGGGTAGATACTCCTGGTTGAGAACCATTCCTTTATACATCTATCCAACCATCTTATTTCCCTGTCCTTCTTCCCTCAGGCCATGGGGCCATAAGGGAATCACTCTGGACTAAGGACCAGGAGATGTGAGCCTGAGCCACCCACTTTGGCTCCTGGGTGATACTGAGCAAGCTCTCTTCTCCACAGACTCCCAGAAAGACTAGATGTTTCTTGGTGCTGGTGGCATCTCCTGTGTGTGGACGAGGCATAAACCCTCTCAGGGCATTTGAGGTTCACAAAGCCTGGAGACTAGCTCACTGACAGCAGAGACTGATAGGTAAACGGCGCTGGTGGCGGTGCTGGTTACCAGGAGCCATGGCCATGACTACCAGAGTTACAGAGAGCTGTATTAGAAGGAGGGAGGGGCTAGGAGGGAGGAGAGCCAGGCCCGGAGGGAGGGAGAGATGGCGGGAACAGACAGAGAGCAGAGAGAGAGGGTGGGGGTCCGCGTCTGGCTTTTTAAGGCGCAGATTGCGTGACCATGCAGTGGGTATGTAGTCACCAGCGCCCCCCTGATGACGTAAGACACAAGAGCCCTGAGGAGTGAGGGCAGAATCCTAACAGAGACCCCATCCAAGGAGGCTGCTGAAGGACCCTTCTCTGCTTCTGCATGTGATAGGTGTTATGTTTTCCACCCCCAGTTCTGGCAGTATGGAGAGTGGGTGGAGGTGGTCATTGATGACAGGCTCCCCACCAAGAATGGACAACTGCTCTTTCTACACTCGGAAGAAGGCAGTGAATTCTGGAGTGCTTTGCTGGAGAAAGCCTATGCCAAGTAAGTGAGAGGGTGAGGAACCAGAAGCCCCTGGGGCCTCCCTGAAGGCTCTCACCTGACCTCCCACTCAGGGTGCGACAGCCACATTTTCCCCAGCATCCAGACATGCCCAGGCTAGACCGAAAGCACCCTTCTGAAGAGAAATAGAAATTTGGCCTGGGAATTTAAGATCTCAGCTCTGCGGCTGGAGATGTGTAGCTCAGTGATAGAATGCTTGCCTAGCAAGCGTAAGGCCCTGGTTCAATACTCGATACACCACAAACATAAATACATTATATGTATATAAAGATCCTAACTCTATCTCATTAAGACTATCTCTCCAGCTACTATATTTTCCTCTCTCAGACCCCGGTAAGGTCTTGGGGCAGAATGAATGTTTATGTGATGAGGATGATGAAGGAAAGAAGGGTTTTTAGCTACCAAACTCAACGAAGTTTCGGCTCATTCCTTGAGTGTCATGTTCCTGACTGACATTCAAAGTTGAAAGGCTTCTTTGAATTCGTCTTGTTTACTATCACTCTGTTCTGACACCCTAATAATTTTCTCATTCTGTTAGGGTAATCCTTAACAGATACCCCTCAGCCTCAAGGGAAGGCTCCCCATTCCTAGCTGTGCTGGATACCCCGAAACCCAAGCAGTTAGGGCCAATTCTGGAAGGGTTTTTGGTTTTGAAAGGGAGTGGGAGACCTGGAGAGGGGCTGCCTGAGGGTCTGTTCCTAGTGAAATCCTGGGGTGTCTGTCTAAAACAGTGGCCTGTGTGTGCGCTAGGCTCCTGGTCATAGCTGGCCAAGGTCTTTCCCTGGCCCTCTGGCCTATGTCCAGCATTGTCCCTTTCCAGTCCTGTGGTTCCCTTATTAGGTTGCTCCTGACCGTGGGTGGTATTTATTTTCTTTCTTTTTCAATAGGCTCAATGGTTCCTATGAGGCTCTTGCTGGAGGCTCCACGGTTGAGGGCTTTGAAGACTTCACAGGTGGCATCTCTGAGTTTTATGACTTGAGGAAGCCCCCGGGCAATCTGTACCACATCATCCGGAAGGCCCTCCGTGCGGGATCTCTGCTGGGCTGCTCCATTGATGTGAGCCTCAACTCTTCCCTTTTTCTCTTTTCTCTGGTGACATGTTGGTTTACAGTGCGCAGGAACTGGTGAAGACCTCAGGAATGGGTGGGAACTAGGCTTAGTCACATTTTAAGATTATGTTTTGCTGGTAACTGTTGGAGCCACTTTAGTATGGCTAGACTCCTCCCAAGAGCACAGCCTTGTCTCCTGGATCGTAGGCCCTATCTCCTTACCATCTGTTTGCTAAATCATCTTAGTCTTTGGGAAAACAAATTGGCAGCTGACAATATTTGATGGACTTGGAGATCCCTGAAGAAAAGAGGAGGGGCCAGCCCTGACAGGAAGATTGGCTGTATGGAATGCCAATGTGGCCTTAGAGATCAGGTCTGGAAGCCACCAGCCTGAGGGCCAGTTGTTATCTATCTATCCAGATGCTCTATCTTCTTCTCTGGCTGTCATAATGCGTAGTTTCATTTGTTGGTTTGTTTTTGAAACTGTAACTATGCTCTCAGTCACACTCTAGGCTCCGCAGCTGCTCACTACTTGCCTGGTTTATTAAGAGGGGTCGTCTAGAGATGGGTCTCTCTGTTCATGAGTTGTTGCTGCCCCTGTACTCTTCCCGCCTGGGAGAGCCCTGGCTGTGTGGTGTACTTTTAGAAAGCATTGTAGTGCTGACTTCAAAGAGGTCAGCGTCAGCCTCCCTGATGGGACTCTCTCTCCTTGACCAGGTCTCAAGCACAGCCGAAGCAGAAGCCGTCACCTGGCAAAAGCTGGTTAAGGGTCACGCATACTCTGTTACTGGAGTCGAGGAGGTAGGAAGGGGTTAATATGAAATCCGGGGTGTCCCAAGAAAGCGGTAGGAGATCCTGCTGAGAAGTTTTGAGTTGCCTTTGAGCTTTCCTGTTTACTCAGGGCAAGTTTCTCTCTGGATGCAGAGCCCCAGACAGATGTGCAGTTAACTCGTGTTCACTACAGGGTACCTGCAACTCTTAGCTTCTCAGAGGACAGTATCTGAGCCATCCTCACTCTAGCTGTCTGGTTTTAATTAAATTTGCCTCTTTTCTGAGGTGTGATCACAAAAGTTATAGGGACTATCAGTTAGATTCTACACACATTCCAAACAAATGTTCATGTAGGCAAAGCAGTATAAACTCATAAGAGTCACTAAAAGAAGAAATAATTTCTACTCCAGTGTTCAGGATGATATTTAATAATCACATAGATATTCTTCATTCTCTGGCCCCAGCATGGCCTATAATAGTCATGATTTTTATTTCATATGGTCTACCTACATCCAAATGGGGTTTGAATAATTTGGTTTATAGTTAAAAGCATAGATATAAGTGGACGATAAGATGAAGGTAAAACACATCAACCCAGACAGTGTCACAACTGAGAAATACATTTTCTTTAGGTTTTCCAGTGATTGTGCAGAAATAGTCACACATTAAGTACTCCAGCTCTCACAGCTTATTGTAACGATGGCAGTACTCACTACACATCTTTCTATTGAATGTGGTATTGTTAAATCAAGTCAACTCCGTAAACATGAATGGAATGTGTGAGGAAACTATGGGCTAGTGTATGATGCAAATGATGGTGATAAAGACCTGATAGACTGACCTGTTTGTGCAAATATGTACTAGCATGTGTGCGGTGGTGCATGGGGACCACACTCAAGTGCTCATTAAATAGTGGCATGAGGTAGTATCTTAGTCCTTATCTGTTACTGTAACACAATTCCTGAATCTGGATGATTTATAAAAGAAAGTTTTGTTTTTTTTTTTTAAATCTCATGCATTTGGAGGCTGGGAAGAATAATACTGGGTAGCTTTGTATAGCTTCATAGCAGTATCAATTGGAAGGGTAAGTGGGCACATTCAGAAGAGAGACAAACAAGAGGAGATTTGCAATATAACACCTTTAGCAACTAATCCAGTCCTGAGAGAATGAGAACTCACACCAGAAGAATGAACTCAGGCTCGTAGGAAAGACATGAACCCCATCACGTGTTTTAGAAAGCTCCACTTGCAAACCCCACAACAGAGGTGACCACATTTTACCTCAAGTTCCCGAGGGCATTTATACATTTAGGCTTTGGAGACACTCTGCTAGGCTCCTATGCTTTTCCTGGAGAGAGGTGAACAAACACCTACTCAACCCAGATAAGGCACCAGGGATGACAGATCAAGGAAACAGTTCCACCAGACCCACCTCAGTAGACCAGTGGTCATACTGCACTGGATGACTCAAAGGCAGCTGCAGCACCAGAAAGCTAGCATGGATGAGAATACATTAAAACTGCATCTCTGGAACTCCTTGCGTGACTTGTAGGCAGCACCCAATGAATAAGCTCTGCTTGCTCTGCAACTGTTCACTGCTTTTACAACCTTGGGGAGGGGCTTTGTGAATCTTGTAACTTTCAGGAACTTCCTGGACCCCCAAGTTTCCTTTACTTCCCAAGTCTAATGAGCTTTCTTGAGGAGGGGATAGTTATACAGCTAACTAGGTAGTCTTGAATAACTGGGCTTCTCGGGATCTCCTATTGTTGAGGTCAAAGTGTGAAGTTTAAATAAAGCAACCATGCATTCTAAATGTTTAGCACTGTGCCTAAGCCGGTAGTAAGCAATCAATAAATGTTAACTTCCACAACATTGGCATCGTTTAGGGGGAATTTATTAGAATGCTGTCTCCGATATTCAGAACAAGGTCCAAGTTAATCAACTGCAAAATCTAAACCTAAGTTTAAGTAGATACATAGTTGGTTTTGTGGTAGACTCACTCTTCATTTGTTTTAATAGCTTGTGAAAGCAAAATATTTGACCGAAGCTTAAACACAGCATGGTAAAGAAAAGGAAAGTGTGGTCTTTTGGAGACATTTGAAACACTGAACACCCTGGGTGCCGTCATGCGCCCCAGACAGCAGCAGTGTGGTGATTTCCCTGTATGTGGCTCTTGCAGTTGGATTTCCGTGGCCGCCCAGAGAAGCTGATCCGACTGAGGAACCCGTGGGGTGAAGTGGAGTGGTCGGGAGCCTGGAGTGATGCGTAGGTCCCTCTCTCTCTTTCCTGATGCTTACCTTCCCTGTATAAAGGTGTCATGTAATACACACCATAAGCAATGAGACCCATTGTTCAGTGGGTTCTGCAGCACTTACTGTCTGTAGGTTATACAGCATGCTGTGGAAATTGTATTCCGTGGTTCCAAGTTGGGAAAAGCAGAACAGAAACCACTTTGTTGCAGTTTTTGATTACAGATTTCTGCTTTGGCACTTGGAAATTTGGCAGCTCCATGGAATTTTGCCTAGTGTTAAATAAAGGCTTACCTATTTCCTACCACACTGGTTACTACAAGGTAAAATCAACCACTCACAATCTGATATTTCCCTGCCACAAACACTATTCTCCTGAGTACTAAGAAAAAAAAACAAAGATGTTGGGAGAACCTTGATCCTGGGAGCCATGGCCCACTTAGGCAGTGATGAATGTGAGTGTCACTTACCCCATGAGTTCCTGACTAGATGGGTGTTGATTACTGGGTGGAAGGACAGTCTTTGGTCTGCCTATCTACTGGTAAGGGAAGTCAGTCCAAGGAGATGAGGGCCTGGAATGTCTATACTCTGGCATCTATGTCCCTGATGTCCTCTACTAGCCAGAGACACAGTCTGGGCTATTTACCTACTGGTAGTTGGAGAAGGAGGACATGGACACTCTTAGGTGACGTGTCTGAACCCCATTAGCATCCAGCTGTGTTTTGCTGTTGTTTAAGTTTGAAATATCAACAATAACACCAACTGGGAGATTAGATTAGATCTAGAATTCCCAATCAATCCCCTAACTTTTGCTTGTAGTAATCACACTGTGGGACTTGGTACTGACTGAATGAATGTTTTGATGGCTCCAGATCACTTTTGCTGGTCTCCAAGTGTTCAGAAGCCAGCTGGAGGGAAAGGCTGGGCCCGGCTGTCTTCTTGGCTGGGGAGGAAGAAGTGCTCAGGGAAGAGCTTCTGTTTTTTTTTGTTTTTTTTTTTTTTTTAGCACTGGTCTTGACACTGTTCACTTATCTAGATATGCATTTCAGGAAAACCCAAAGGTCAGGCAGCTATAGACGGCATTTGAACAAAGTACATGGATATTACCACAGAAAGGTCACCATCAGGACGCCGGGGAACATTACTTCAAGGAAATTCCCATAAAAATGGGCCTGATAATCAAAGCTGTAGACTTAGGAAGTGGACAGTGTCTGTGTCCCCGGAGCTGGCTGGGTCCTCTTATAAATTAGTCCACCCCAGTCTGATAGAAGATAAGAGTGACAAGTTACTAATGGATACAGTAGTACCTGCCTTTCTTGTGACGGGATCTCCTTGTTCCAATGGTCAGAGGTCTGTGGGTCTTAATTGGAATGTAAAACTTACCCAGAGAGTGAAAATTAAAATAAAGCCATTACGTTTCTGCTGCATGCCCTGGCTGCCCCTGCAGGAATCCATGTCCTTGGCTTCTTCTTCCATCCTCTTCTTCCAGTGGTACACTGCTTCATACCAGGTCCAGCCTGTCTTCTTCCCTTGATGGGGGTGCATCCCATTTGAGGTGCTTTAGGGCCATGTAGCTGCAGCCAACAGCTTGCATCCCAGCCATGGCCACCTCTGTTTCATTTCTCCCCCTCCACAGTGCACCTGAGTGGAATTACATAGATCCCAGGAAGAAGGAAGAACTGGACAAGAGAGCAGAGGATGGAGAGTTCTGGTGAGAGGCTGTGTGCTGAAGGACTGTCCCCTAGGTGGTCAGTCTGGTCCAAGGTGCTCAGGAGGACCAGTCTCCAGGACTTCCAGGAATGTGATGAGGTTTCTAATTCAGGGGCCACTATTTTTTTCCTGCCCCCTTGCCCTAGTATAATTCTCCTCTATTCTCATATCTAAAGCCTTGGGACCCAGATCTCTGTGCCCACAACAGGACCTGGCCAGCAGCCTGTCTGCCTGTTGGGAGTCTAAAACAATGCTCGCCACCCCCCGCCAAATTCTAAGGCCTAGCTTACAGTCAAAACAGTATTCTTTCCTTTGCCTGGGTTGGGAGGGGGTGTCTGTGGAAGATACAATGTCTTAGAGGGTATCTCCACACTGGATATCAAGGAGAATTCTTCATAAATGAACCTCTACTGGGCTTAGCTGTGATCCAGCCTAGAGGCGAGGGTTGCACCGGCATCCCGTCCTGGGGGAGTCCCTTTGGTTCATGGTTCCAACTCTGTGTGGCTGGTAGATACAGGAGAGAGATTTTTAGGAACTGAGATGCTGACCACAGTGACAAATTTAGACGGTAGCTCTGTTTGTTTGTGTCACTGGGCTGTAGATGGAGGGAACCCAGGCAGTCTAGAGCTGCTGGAAGACAGGGCTCTTTCCTGGGCCTTTAATCTCTCTTCCAGTCCAGCCCACTTTACTCACTCCCTTCTGGTCCCTCTATTCTTCAGGATGTCCTTTTCGGATTTCTTGAAGCAGTTCTCTCGACTCGAGATATGCAACCTGTCCCCAGACTCTCTGAGCAGTGAAGAGGTCCACAAATGGAACCTGGTGCTCTTCAACGGCCGCTGGACACGAGGCTCCACAGCCGGGGGCTGCCAGAAAAACTCAGGTGAGGCAAAGGCCAGATAGCTGGCTTTCCCTCCTGGGCTGCATGGCTTTTAACATGGATCTGGGGACAATGAATGCCCTTGGACCTGAGGTCCTGTTTCTTCTCTGGCTTGGAGGCCAGGCCGGCAAGGTGAACAGTTGTTTTGCAGCTGTCTACCTGAGGCCTTGTCTCGGCTCCTGTGTGTTTAAATCATCCTTGCTTCAGCCACCCCTGCTCTCCCAGCATGCTGCTTTTCACAACCTGTTCCTGGACCATCACTAAGGCCTCCTGGGCTTCTCTTGGGTTTCTGCCTGCCCTACCTGGTCCAGCTGGCTGACACCAGCCCACTGAGCTTGGGAGTAGAATATTTAACAATGTCAGTAGACAATCTAGCGTTTCAGTGGGCCACACTCAGAAGGGCAGTCATTCTGCTTTGTGCTGCCTGAGTAACGGCTGAAGGGGTGAGGCTGTGGGGGTCAGGAATGGACATACCCAGACTATGTGTGGGTCATGTTCCATTCTGTGTGGGGGTCACCAGCGATCCCTCCCTGGTGGGGATATCCCAGGGCAAACCACTGCTTTTGCCTTGACTCTGGCTCCCTTTGAGAGTGGCCTCCCTGGTTCTCCCAAGATGACTAACATGTCCTTGTGTAGACTCCTCCTAGGTCGCGTCCACTGAGACAGCTAATGAGGAAACAACTGAGAAACGACCCCCAGCTCTCAGGAGACACAAAGGAAAGAAAAACACACTCCCCTCTTGATAGTTCCCACCTCCATGCTTCCCTGGCTGCTGTTGCTCCGCTGATTTGTGTTGATTGACTCGGCGTCTCCATGCAGGGGTCAGGGGCAGCTGCCGCCGCTGCTGCTTTCTTCCCAGCCTGAGCACTGCATGCTATAGAAATGGTAGCATTGTAAACCCCCATGTGGGTACAGATGGAGCACAAGGTCTTACTTCCTTCCCCATCCATCTCCATCTGGCTGCAAAGACCAGCTGCTGACAGACCTGAAGGGGGAGCTGGTGGCTTGCCCCCATCAGTCAGCTGGACAGTTGTGAGGCCTGAGGGGCGTTCCTTTCCTGGAGCTTCCGTTTTTTTTCAGCCCTCACAATGGTTCATAATTCCTACCTTCCAACTCGCTGGGGCGCAGTGAGCATTGTAACTCCAAGCGCACGAGGACGCGCTTTGTAAACTGTGCAGTGTTATACAAATGGGATGTATTATTTTTATGGCCCATTCTCTTCCTCTAGTACTGTTAAGGAGTAAACAAAAAAATGTAGGAATTGCAGTAATGCTACATTTGGGAGAAATTAAAATATGCTCACCATTAACAAGCTCTTAGAAAAGACATAGGAAATTCGCATGGATCATTCTGGAAGCTCAGAACCATAGGGGGTGCCCAAGGTGTCTGCATGCACCAAATCATAATCCCATCTGTGCTGCCAGGTAGCTGTCAGGAAGAAATGGATTGTTCTTGCCTCGTGGTAATGGAGTAAGTACAGAAGATTACCGAATTTTCTGTCTCCCCTGGAATTCACAGACACCTGATCTTAAAATCCATATGCACCTGTGCCGTGAGTGAAAAAAAAGTCTAGAAATGGAGGCTCTGAGAAGGAGGAATTAAATAAGTACTCTCACTGTTATGGAAAAAAAATAATGAATGGGCCTTGGACATATGTGAACGCTATGCTGTCTTACAGAGTTTGCACCATCACGCAGAGATTGTAAAAACACCTGCTGACCCCTGCTCACCCTAAAACAAACACTCCTCCCCAATTCTTTGTTGCGATTGAATGCCTAGCATGGCGGAGCCTGTCAGACCTGTCTTCTTCAATTATGTATACTCTCAGCTTAATTCCATCAAAGAACTGTTTGTGTGTCTGTGGTGGATCCCTTAGGCTTCTCTTTGCTTAGCTTGGGTAGTTGCTAAGTTGAGAGATCTTTTTCAAAAGTTGTCTTTGAATAAAGGTGTTATGTGTGTGCGTGTGGAGTGTTGCTTTGTGCACGTGTGTGTGTGTGTGTGCACTTGCAGATGTTAGGTGTCCATGCTGTCTCTCATTCACCTCTCCTTATTCATTCTCTTTCACCCTCTGTCTCTTATTCCTTTGAGACAGGGTCTCTTGCTAAACCTGGAGCTATGCCAACAAGGCCTAACAAGCCCCCTGTTTGTATCCCCAACAGCACTGGGTTTACAGGCACATACATTGTAGGCTTCCTTAGACCACCAGCCCCCAAGTCATGACATGGAAACTTATTATAAATTATAAATGCTCGGCCTTAGCTTAGGCTTGTTTCTAGCTAGCTTAAATCAACCCATTTCTATTAATCTATGTGCTGCTCTGAGGCTCATTTACCTCATCTACCTACTGTCCATCCTGCTTTTTTGCTTCCTCTGTGTCTGTCTGTCTGTCTGGTCCCTGGCTGGCTGGCTCCTCTTTACTCTCTGCCCACCAGCCTTGCCTGTTCTTCCTCTGCCTAGCTATTGGCAATTTGGCTTTTTATTAGACCCACCAGGTGCCTTAGGCAGGCAAGGTGAAACAGTAGCATATCTTTACATAATTAAACAAATGCAGCATAAACAAAAGCAACACATCTAAAGATAGCTAAACAAATATTCTATTCTACAACATTTACCTCTTTTTGTCTGAATAAAAAGGAAAGGATTTTAACTTTAATATAGTAAAACTATATATAATAAGAACAATTATCAAGTAAGAATTGCATTTACAATATCCAGTTCATTTATATTTGGCAAATTTAGAGAAAATACTCCATTATTTGTCCTATCTTGGTGAACCCAAAGTTTTGTACCTAATTCATCTCCTATCATAACTAAGGCAAACTGTAACTATAACTATCTAGTCTTCAACTTCATCAAAGACCCCAGAAGGATATAATATTACCTGAGTAAAGAGGAAGTGCAGTGCAAGCCACTTGCAAAACTATAGAAATGACAGAGACATCTGGCTGCCTGGACAGTCACCCAAGGTTCCTCTGCAACACTGGGGCATCCATCTTCAGCCTACAGGCCTAGAGTATCTGGCAGACATTTCTATGAATCAGGAATTTGGAAGGACTATCCCACCTTGTCTTGGCAAAGTTCAGCTTTCTTTTGTGCCCTGCATGTCCTGTTTGGATTGTATAATGTTAGCAGTAGAGGCAAGAACAGTTTCTTGCCCACTTTGGCACAATGAAAGCAAATTCCACATGGAGGTTCTTCAATGCCCATCTTTTTTTTATGAAGTTGATTGATGCTGCCAGGAGCAGATGTGTCTCACTTCATGAAAAGCCTTAGGTTATTAAGCATTTTAAATGCCATATTTTGTAGGTCTCTGAAGCATTTGAAGATCACCTATCTATCTAAAATGTATCTGTTTAACTTTGAAAACATACCTAGCATGACTACAGGCTTGATTATTATAGATGACTAACTACTAACCTGCATTTCTTAATTATACATTACATTTTAAAATGAGCTACATAGGTATAATACCTTAAACAAGAGTAGAAACATACATACAATATAACAAAAATCATTTTAAAGTTGTATCAATATACCAAAATCCATACCAATGCAAAATATTTGAGATTAATAGTTGTCTTTTTACCCTTTATTCCTATATTTCCCCTAAATGATTATATTTATAACTCACCAAATGACCAAAAACCACCCCACCCACCACACCTCTTGAGAATGTGAGTGTGGTGTTCTCTAGACTGCTTCCTGTTGTCTGGGGGTGACAGCATCTCCAGGGGACCTTGAGAAAATTGAGACAATGGTCAAGTCCTGGGGAAATTGGTTGTAACATTTTTTTTGTCCAGTCTCAGAACTGTTCCCATGCAGAGGAATCAGTATAAATGTCACCTGTCTTGTAGGGTTTTTTTTTGTTTGTTTATTTCTTTATGTCTGTAGCCAAGATTTTCAGGAGGTCTCCCCTGATCAAACCTGATCTCTCTTAACCTGGAAGGAATCCACAGCCTTTCATTTCCTGTGGAAACAAAAGCAACAAAAACAAAACCTCTCCCCAAACACAATACATCTTCTGAATTCCATTTTAAAGTGAAGGCATCCCTAAAGTATCTAGGCTGGTTTAATTCAGCAGTCCCTGTTACAGTCCAGTGTCTTTCAGCAGCTACCATTTGCTCATCAGCATTCAAAAATTCAAAGTTAACACCATATAGGACCCAGATTCCCTGCGTATTTCCCATCTTTAAGTGGCCTTTTCCCTTTATATTACTTTACTCTCTCTTTAAAGACTTTATTATTTTTAAACTGTTTTTTCATATGACTGTCTATGCCCATTTTCTTTTCTTTCTTAAGAACTGCAAACATTTTTTTAAAATGCTAACATGTTTATAGGTATTTTTTGATCTGGACCTGCCTTACTGTCTACCTGTAGTGTTCTCTGACCATGTGAGCCAAACTTTAAACTTGCCTGTGCCTTAGTGCTGGTGATTGGCCCTCCCTGCTTGGGTCTGTGAGAGCTGAGCTTTATGCCCCATGGGCATGGCCAAGAGCTGCATTTAACTGGGAGCTGCATTTAACCACCCTAACTCTTGGTGCCTGAAATATGGCAGGTGTTTAGTTAGCTTGCTGTTTCTGCTTAACATGTTGGCTGCTCAAGTGCTCTCTGTATGGCAGAGATGTGCCTCTGTATGCTACAAGCACCAGGTACTAGGAAGCCATTTTTTTTTCAGCTTTCTTAGACCCTAAGTAGAAATATGTGCCCCACATTGGGTGCCAAATCTTGTTTTAACTTCAGCACAGTGGCTGTGCCTTAATCTGCTGCTATCTCAGCCAGCAATTGCAACTCTGCAGTTACTGGGCTGTTTCTCTAGCAGTGGCCTGGCAGCTCAGGCTGCAGCCTGGTGAGAATTCTGCTCCTGCGAGCACTGGCCCTATCACTGCTGCTAAAAGTGAGAATTCTGCTCCTGCAAGAACTTGGCCCTATCACAGCTGCTAAAGGTAGCTTTAACTAAATCTCTAGCATTCTAATTATGAATAAGACTTGAGGTTCAAAGGCTAGGGTGAAAACCTTCAAGCTCAGAGAGGCTGAGTAACAACTACCTAACCCTTTCTCCTTTCTGTTGTCCATGGAAGACTGATGCTTCTGCTTTGCCAAACCAGAAAAGGCTGAGCCACTCCAAACTCCACTTTCTACTTCCTGTGACTCTCTGTTCCTCCTGGATGCCCTCTGAGGTTCTATGATTACTTTCTGTTAACTAGTTGCTAACTTAGCCTCTTTATCCAAGGTTAATTTTATTTAATTAGCAAAAATGCAAACTTGGGGTTCACAGTGTGTTCGAATATGCCCCAACATGGTGGTGTTGGGTTTTGACATGGTGCTGGGATCTGAACTCAGGTCCTCTTGCTTGTACAACAAGCCCCCTACCCACTGAGCCATCTCCCCAGCTCAAAAAGTCATCTTTTTAAGTATCAATAGGTGGTGTAGCAGGAATGCTTAATGACATTGTGATTTCTCTTACATTATTGAATGACTTGACTGGAAGGTCGTGTGTCTCATAAGCAGGCTGTAACACTGGACATCTCTGGAGGCCCATTGGGCTGAGGGATAGAGGATGGGTCTTAGGGCATCATGGGGTTGTAATCCAAGGCTGGGGCTTCTCCTGGGCTTGGTGGAGCACATGACAGTCAGATGGCTTTCTAGCTATGAGGCAAAGGCCTTCTTGGTTCTTCTGGGACTCTGTTGCATCCATCCCAGAGATACACTTCTCCCTAAAGAGCTCCTTCCAGGTGGAGTCTTCAGCTAAGAACAGGAAGAAATGAAGACTTCCAGGAAGGCAAGATATTGCTTCCTGGTGCAGTCCAGAGCAGCCTGGGATGACAGGATCTCAGATTTCACCACAGTTCTGGGCTACTGGTTGATCTAAGCAGACAAGATAGACATTCTAAGCATCTACCTGTGGGGCGGAGCAGGGAGGTGGGGGACTGCTTTCCAGTTCTACTGGGCCAGGCAATCTGGCCAGTGTTACCCTTTCACTGGGACGATGGAGGCTCTTTCTTTCTTTCTTTTTTTTTTTTTAATTTCCATTCTTCATCTCCTCACCCTTGTTGGACCATTGTCCCTGGATGATTTCCAGCCACTTACTGGACCAACCCCCAGTTCAAAATCCATTTGGATGATGTGGATGAGGACCAGGAGGAAGGCACCAATGAATCCTGCTGTACAGTGCTGCTGGGTCTGATGCAGAAGAATCGCAGACGACAGAAGAGGATTGGCCAGGGCATGCTCAGCATAGGCTACGCCATCTACCAGGTACAGCTGAGTCAGGTTCCTCCATCAGGGTGCACTGATGTCTTTGATCAGGATGTTTCGGTCAATGATTGGAGTGCATTTTCCCTATTGCTCAAATACTCTTAATAAGATGTTGTCCTTGCTCCCTTACATCCATAGAACTCTTACCGAGGCTTGGATTCCATAGTCAGAGATTCATCCCTATGGCTGGAATTTCTGCTGTTAAGACTGAAATATGCAACTAATTCATTGCACTTTACCTGTCAGTATGAACTCAGTGCAAATTTGCATATTCGACTCTTTTCCAAGAAGAGGTGTCTCAGTGGCGCAGGAGCCCAGAAGATGAGGGTGGAAAACATTTGAGCAATAAAATGCATTTCAGAGTGGAAGTAGGTGGCTGGATACAGAAGCCAAATGTATATAGTCCCCTCTTTCTACCATTGGAAGTCACCTGGAAACACACAAGGCACCCGCTTGAGTCTGAGGAACCACACAGCCTTTTTTGGTTCTGGAGTCTCTGGATTGAGGAACACAGCTGGTTCTTGTCTCAGACTTCAGTCCCTAGTTCAGGATGCCAGGCTTCTCCAGTGACTGCCCCTCTGTGGACTTCATCTCCCTGACACAGTAAATCAAGTCTTCGGGGTTGATAATCTACTAGGACCATGCTACAGTCCTACTTCTTTACCCAGGCAAAAACTCCATACAACGTATCCTATGGGAACTCAGTTTTTAGCTTTTTGGTATATTACAAGTGAATTTCTTGGTTTAAAAATACAATTCTAATCAGGAAGACCCAGAGCTGCTAGGAAGCCCAGCATCTCAGTATAAATTAAAGCACATAAAATAAGCATTGTAATAAATTTTGAAACAAGGAAAAATTCAGTTGCCAAGCCCATACCATCTTCCTCCGGCTCCATTTATCATAGTCTTAAACTTAAGGTTTCAGGTGTGTGTGTGTGTGTGACAAAAACAAGTTAAGGAAGGGTTTATTTTAGCTTACAGATCAATGCACAGTCCACCATGGCAAGAAGTCAAGGGAGCAGAAACCTGAAGCAGCTGGTCTGCAAATGGAAGAGAGCAGCAATTGCACACTGTTTAGCTCCCTTTCTGCACTTACATACTCCAAGATCCTGGATAGGGAATGGGGCCACCCAGAGTAGGCGAGTCTTCTTATGTAAATTAACAATCCTATACAAGCCCCCAGGCTTATCTTCCAAATGACTCGAGTCTATCAAGTTGGCCATTAACACTAACAATGTATGTAGGAGTGTGCATGTGTGTGTATGTGTAGTGTGTGTGTGTGTGTGTGTGTGTGTGTGTGTGTGTGTGTGTGTAATTGGAAGAATGGGAGGAGTGGAAAATAATTGCTACTTAACAGCAAGAGAAAAGAATTGAAAGTAACTAAGCTCCATTTTATTCCAACCTATCTCTTCCAGCCCTGTCTAGGCACAAATACTACAAACCCACCCTCACTGCTTACAGAGATAATAGGCCTGCATGCACCCCAACACAGCAAACTTGCCTGAGCCTCTGCTCTGTGCCATGTGCAAAGCCAGAAGCTGGGGACACTGAGTGCTAGCACACAGTTCCTGTCCTCTGGGTGCTCCCAACCAGGAATGTGACTCTGATGGCAGGGCAGGGGGGATCTGTGATGGTGAGGGAACCTCAGCTTCGTGCTTGGGGAGCCTTTAACCAGGTCTTCAGAAGATGACCTGCATTTAAAAGGTGGAGAGGAGACAACATTCTAGCCTGAAGTCACGCCATGTGCTCCTTGACAGCTTAAAACTTAGTGACTGTTCCAGAGAACCGACAGCTGGCAGGGGCAGTTTCAGGGTGAGCCACTCAGGGACGGTGGCCAGGGCTTCATCTGTCAGGCCTCCTTCATTGTACCAGATCAACAGAACATTTTTTTCTCAATAGATGTGTGTGTTATGGTGTTTGCACCAATAAATAATACACACAGCATGTCAGTTTCATGTATCAAATTATAGCTGTTTATAAAATACTCCAGCGTATGTGATCTGTGGTCCCACTTCTTGTCATTGGAGGCATATAATTTAGAGCCTGAACTCTGTGAACAGATTGATTTTAAAGTCAAATTGAGGAAATGGATGTAGGGAGCAGCTGGGGTAAGGGGAGCAGCCGGGGTGAGGGGAGCATCTGGAGTGTGGGGAGTAGCTGGGCTGCAGGGAGAAGCTAGGGTGTGGGAAGTAGCTTGGCTAGTAGGGGATATCATATTTTCATCCCTGCTGGTGTCTCCCTTCTCTGGCTGTAACTGTCTGAAACTAGACTCAAGCCTGAGGTTGAAAACCTTTGGCCAGTGGAGAAGCTGCCAGGCACCCCTGAAGGCTAAAGAGCCCCCCTCCTGCCCTTGCAATCTCTGTGGGCAGTGGCTCTTCCTGTCTGTCTCAGGGGACTCAGGGCCAGGTGGACTCACAGCATGTCAGAAGCATCCAAGTTGTGGAGGAAAAGCTAGCCAAAGTAATTACAGAAGCTCCTGATGGGCGCAGAGGCCTCTGTGTGGCTGACTGTGTTTTAAACTCCAAATTAGAGGAGTGCCCATGTCCCTTGACCACTCTAGCCCTGCTGAGGGGATGCCAGGCAGACCCTACTTCCCCTCAGAGCAGAAGGCAGTTCCACAATGGGCCTAAGCTGTCAGTATGCTCTTCTGGATCCAACAGCCTGTGTGGTGGGGCAGAGGAGGGAGGACCCAGCAGGACTAGGTTTTCTTTTCCGCCTGAAATGGGAGCACTGAGCATAACAGGGCTCCCACTCTGGGTCTGAGAGCTCTTCTTCATAGTCTTCAATTGTGTCCCAGAGAGCTGCAGCTGAGCTAGTGAGAAAGAATTCACTACCTCATGTAACCAAAGCAAAGGACAGAGAGAAAGGATGCTTGGGGTGAGGGAGTCAGGCCACCAGAACACTTTCTCTCCACACCCTTCTCTAGTGTCAGTGACATTCTCCTAGCCTAGCTTTCTTCACTGACCAACGTTACCAGCATAAAAGAAGGAGCCCCTTTCCTTCCAATTTAAAAATCTGGGAGGAATCTCCTATAGGCCTAGTTTGGGTCACCATGGCTGAAGACAGAATCAGTTGTGACTTAAGTTGAGTGGAATTTTCTTTCCAGCCAAATCCTTGATCTGGCAGGCCAGGGTAGGAAGTCTCTGGGAAGAACTTGGATCCAACTTAAGCTCAAACATTATTACTTTTGGAGTATTTGGGAGATCCTGGTAGATTACACAAAGTAAAAATAGGGGTGTCCCCAGCCCCAGATTTCTAAGACTCAGCAGTCTGCATATGGCCTTGAATCCACCGAGCACTTCCCAGTTCAGAAATGCTCACCCCCTTTCATTTCAGCTAGAACTTTCTCCCTGTGTGTTGCTGTCTGTCTGTCTGTAAGGTGTAGGAAGAGACTCCCAAAGGGAGGGACTTGAGCGCTCAGGTGAACTGCTCTTGTCTTTTGCCCTGCAGATTCCCGAGGAGGTACGTGAGTATCGCCTGCACAGAGACGATCTTCATTCGGTAAGGAAGGGCATGCCTGCCTTTGGCTCCTTCCTGCAATGGAGTCAGGCTCTCCTGCGAATACTCTTTTGATCTGGTGAGCTGGTAGCCCTGAGAGCCAGTGAGAACAAGCCCAAGTCCCACCTGTCAGGCCCTTTGGGAAGGGGTCAGGGGTGATCCTTGCCCCTGTATGAATGGCGGCTTGGTCTGACTAAGGTGATTGCAGCGTGCTATAGGTCGCTTTTTGTCTGGCCGACAGAAACAAGTGCCCTGGTGGCTAGTTAGAGAGGGAAGTGCCAACTTCACCCTCTGCTCTGGCTTGTCCCACGCTTCTCAGTAAGTCACAACTGGTTTAGGGAATTCCATCAGTAGTGTCCTTATGGTCCGAGGTTCCCTCTGCCCTCCCGAGCCTTGGTCACTGGTACCACCCACCTCAGCTGGTGGAAGCACTCCTGACAGAGGACCTGCATGGCCCCACAGGAGAGCGCAGTCAGCACAAAGCAAGGACCCAGAGTGTGCTTGCCCAGGGCCGTCTCAGCCACAGCCTAGGAAGTCTTAAAAATCTCAGTGTACAGGCTACATCCCAGCCAGTTATATAGCAGCATCTTAGGGTCAAGAGAACACAGGCATTGTAAGTTTATAAACAGCCTTGACTCCAATGTGTAGTCATAGCTGGGTTTTGACCTGGAGTCAATTGCACTAATTATGCAGTGGTGTGTGATAGGCTGCTGCCTTCTCTCCTCTGCCAGGTTCTCTGACCAGGGATATGGGTAGACCCACAGGGCCCAGATTTATAGGCTTGGGCCCAGACAGTGTTCCCAGATTGGGTCACAAATGCGTGCTATTTATCATGGAGGGAACAGACAGGGTGGTGGTTTAGTGCATTATTTTCACTACTAGGAAATACTGGAAACCATACCCAAGTTAAATGTGGTTAGTGGTGGCTCCCATCAGAGATGCTCCACTGATATGAGTGTGGGGTCCTATGTATGAGTGGTAGAACTTTCTCCAAGGGCGCCCACCACAACCTTGGCGTAGATCCTGTGATCTGCAAGTGTCACAGAGACTTCTGGTCAAACTTGAATTTGCCTCAATCTCTAGAGGGATTGTTAAATCACACACCATTGGGCCTCACATCTATAGCATCTGGCTCTATGGGTCTGGAGTAGATATAACAATTTGCACATACCCCACCCTGCAGGGTTCACCTGTTGACCTCAGCCTCACACTTTGAGAATCACCATCAGTTGAGTCCCCTTGATTCCCACACCATCACTGCTAGCTGAGTTATGTCAAGGGAAGACATGAAGGCCAGAGATGCTTGACACCTAACTGGATGGGGTCTCTGATAGCACAGAAGAAACCCAGTTCTTGCCTCAGTGGCTCCGGGTCCCACTCCACTATGGCCTCCTGAACAGGGATTATTTGGTTGGTTCCACCCTTGGATTCTTCTAGAAACTCTGTTTGTCCTTCCCTAGACAAGCCCAGGTATCAGTTAGCCGCCCACCTGTACTGACAGCTCTTTCTCCTGCTGGAATCTTTCCTCCCTCATTTCCATCAGGGAGACCAAGAACGACATTCAGCTTGTTACACTTAGATGTTGCCTGTGGCCCTGTGGGTGCCCCGGCATGCTTACGTCCAGGGTGGAAACATTTTCAGCAACAAAGCATTGTGGCTGTCCTAATTGTCACCTGGAAGGCTCCCTGAGGAGTTCCAGGGAAATGACAGGGGACAAGGGGGTCCTACTTTTGTCCCCCTGTCAGCAGCACTGGGATTCAGAGTGACCGTGCGTGGACACTGACCACTCCAGGGTGGGCACTTCAGCTCTTGCAGCTTGCCTGCACCTGCCTCTGTCATCGGCATCATATAAAGATTGATTGCAAAGATGCAGGGCTCTGGGGAGGCTTAATTACAGCACTAACCGTGTTGGCCCCTGTGTTTTCGGAGCACTCCGCGGTTAGTAATTAGCCTGTGTCACACACTGACTGTCCCCTCCCACCCTTCCTCACAGCAGACGCATGGGAGTATCTTACCCTTTCTGAGGAAGAGCCCTGGTCCCCAGGAGGCCAGGAGGGACCCAGAACAAGGCCTGGATATCTGCCTTCTCTGTCTCCTTCAGAGCCTGGTCACTTTAGTCACCTCACAGAGCACGTCACTTGAGGACCAGGGTTAAAGTTTCCTTCTTCAGCCCCTGATCTGGACTGTGAGAGTCAATGCTGTTCTCACAGACAGCTGCAGAGTATTGGCTGCTGCCATCGTGAGGAAAGAATTGCAAAGCCTACACCAGACACCCCAAGCTCCACTCTTCATTTAACTGGGGAGACCTAGAAGGCAAAGGGACTGGCCAAGGTCACAGTTAAGGCCACAGCCTCACGGGGCTTGACACTCAGGAGGCACTCCAATCCACTTAATGCTTGAGACACAGTAAGCTAGCTTGTGACTGGACTGAAAGCCTCCTGATTCTTACACATTAGGGGCAGGGAACAATCCCTAATTTGACAGGGTTGGGCTGAACTCCAAGGAGAAACTGACTCTGCCCATTACTTTGCACAGCTGGAGAGTCACACGGATGCACACTTCGGCCAGGACTTCTTCCAGGGCCGCCAGCCCTCCGCTCACTCCAGCACCTACATGAACCTGCGGGAAGTGTCCGGCCGGGTCCGACTGCCCCCAGGGCAGTACCTGGTGGTACCATCTACCTTTGAGCCCTTCAAGGATGGTGACTTCTTCTTGAGGGTGTTCTCAGAGAAGAAGGCCAAGGCTCTGTGCGTCTACTTTGTGGGAGGATGTCTTCTGAATTAGGCCACAGGTGGAATGCAGCATCAGGAGGCACCCGCTGCTGAGTAACCTGTCCCTGGATCTTGGTTGATGGTTCCAGAGGAAGTTTGACAGCATGACACCTCCCAGGGGCCTTCCCTGGGTGTGCCTCCTGCTGCCTCCACTTTCCTTTATAGTACTGGGAATTTCCTCATCCAGAAAGGTTAAGGCTGAGGAGAAGGCACCATCAACAGCCTGTTGACCAGCTGCCTACTGCCTGGCAGAGGCTTTTGAGATCTGGGGCAGGGATGTGTACACAGCATACACATCCTCAGTATACATACCATACACATTGCACACAACCCACATACTTATATGTACATTAGACATATATACAACATATGTACCAAATATGTACCATCTATGCATCCCCCATCTTTATGTACACAGTATAATACCACATACACACTATAGACAAACATATACACATGTACAGCATGCACACCATGTATATCATGTATACACACAACACATGCCTTAACTACATGACACAAACATGTAACACACAAAACACACATATATTATACATACCATATCATATAAACATGCCACAATATATGTTCCCAGAGCCCCTTGGGCAGATAGTGAATCTCCTAAACAATCTTGCTGTGGTGATGAAGGTCCTAGAGACCCTTGGGCAGATCTAGACAATTCTAGACACAATTGGACTGATAATAAAGATTCCAAGGTCCCTGGTACAGATTGAGTAGGTCCCACTGAACCTTTAGAAGACGGAGAAAACTGAAGAGTTTCCTGGAGAGATGTTGATGATCCCACACCACACACCACATACATGCATAACACACACCATTTACTTCAATACCACATACCACTCAGTATGCACATATACCACTAATACATAAATCACATACACACACCATGCATACATCACCCATAGAATATTCACAGAGACATCCAGAAATTATATACATATTCTATGAACCACATGCACCATGCACACATACCACACCACAAATCCTAACTCACATCACATACATACTGCACATCCCCCTGCCCTGTACCCACCCTCAAACTTCACATTCTCTGAAAGACTGGCAGAGGATCTGGCAGTGAGGTTTTCAGAAGAGAGAAGGGTAGCAGCTGGGGTAAGATGGGCAGTCTCTCAGAATTCTCCATACTCAGCACTCTAGAATCCACGGGAGAGCAGAAACCCTTATCGCCGGTGAAAACTTCAGGGTGGGTTGTGGGCTGGGGCAGTAAAGGGGAAGGATTCCTTTCAGGGGCTCAGCTCTACAGATTTTTTTTTTAAGCAAAAACTGAAAAATCCTGGGTGTGAAATCAATTTCCCAGTAGAAGAAATTGTCTCTGAAAGAACCCAGCCATTGGCTAAACTTGCTTTCTCATGTTTAATTCACTTCTGTCTGAATTTCAGGGAAATGGGGGACGCTGTAGCTGGAAACCCACACGAGGTATGCTATAGTAGTAGTACTTTCTCGCCGGGACCGCCAGCCCCCAAATAGTGACACGGAGACTTATTGTTAATTGTGAAAGTTCGGCCTTAGCTTACCCTTGCCCCACTAGCCCTTACAACTTAAATCAACCTGTTTCTATTAATCCATGTTCTGCCACGCAGCTCTTTACCTCTCCTCCACTCTGTATGTCCGACTCCATGTGTCTCGCTGGTGTCTTGCCCACGCCCAGATTTAATCACCCAAGTTCCTTTCTCTCCCGGTTAGTTCTGCCTAACCTCTTCCTGCCTAGCTATTGGCCACTCAGCTCTTTATTGAACCAATCAGAAGGCTCCTTGGCAAAGACACATCTTCACAATGTACAAAAAGATTACCCCACAACTGTGTGCAATCCTGTTATGCTAAGCTCTCACACTACTGCACAGCAGACATTCAAGTTTCTTATTCATTTAATAGAGTTCTTTGTATATTAAGAATGGTAACATTTTATTTCTCTGGGACCTAGTACTATAATGTCTAAGGAATGATGCTGGAGGCTGTTCACTAGTCTACACACATACACATAGTCACACATGTGCACATGTACCCTCTACATGCAATCACATACATGAACGTGTGTGTGTGTGTGTGTGTGTGTGTGTGTGTGTGTGTGTGTGTGTGTGTGTATGTGTGATATCTTTCTGCTCCATGGCACAGGACCCAGGGGTGAGGGAATGTCTTCACATGACACAGGTCCAGCTGCGCCCCTCTGTTGTTCACCCAAAGGGACTGAGTATCTGTATGCAGCTGCTACTAAAAGTGCCCTCTAGTGGCTGAGCCTGCCTTTCTGAACAAATGGCAGGGGATGGACACGTTCTATTATTGGAAATAACCAACCGTGTAAGCTCGTGTTTCTACAGATGAGGGGGGACGTCCCAGCTGAGGATCCATCTGTCTGGGGCTTGGGTTTGAGTTTATCTGGCAGGAAATGCCCTGTCATCTGCTCCATCTTCCTGCAGTTAGTCTCCACCCGGTGTGGCTGCTCCCCGGGTCTGTAGTCCTCTTGTTAACTTTCCGGCAGCGCTAGTTCCGTCCTGGGCTCCGCTCTTGAGCGATAGCTGTGGGCAGTAGCTCGGGGTCTGCACTCCCAGGCTCTTCTCATTCTCGCTGTGGGACAAGGAGCGTTAGAGGAGCCACAGTGTGTCAGGGCAGACACCACAGAATCTACAAGTCTGTTTCGGTTTCTGTTAACTGAGCCAGGCTGGCAGCAGCTCAGTCCTGGTCATCACTGGGGCTCCCTGTCTCCATCTCCTGTGGTCTCAGAAGTCTCTTCTGGCCATTGGTCTGCCTTGGCCATCCTGTGATCTGATCATATGTTCCTTCACAGGTTACAGTTCACAGGCTGCTGCATTTGCTGCAGCTTGGTAAAGTGCAAGCCTTCAGGCAGAGAGCCTTCTGTGGTCTCCAGAGCATGATGATGGAACCATACGAGGGATTCTGGGATTCCAAGGCCTGGGACTTCTGGAACCCCTGTGTCCTCACCTCCAACTCACGGACAGTTAGAAATTCAAAGGGCCTGGCTGCCTTGCCTGGAGTGAGGGAGATTCTCGGGGTGAACCAGTCACTCTCAGGGTTCAGCTGTGTGCCTTTGAGCAGGGCTGCTAAGATGACATCAGCCCAGTGTAGTCACAAGACTCCTTCCTTGCCTTTGTTAGGCTACCACACCATTGCCATTCTACACACATTCTCCCCAGGGAGTAGACACACAGAGGTAAGAGCACGACCTGTTCACCACTCACTGTGTTCACTCACAGACCCGGGGCAGTCTCCAAGATGCTCCAGGGGAATGGATGAACACTTTTGGGGTCCTTTGCCATTATATAAACACAGCCTCCTATTCCTTGGGTCCCAGCATTCCCACATCCTGTGGTATGGTTCCCTTTGTTGGCAGACTGTCTGATACAGACAGCGTCTGTTCGTATGCGCACACTGGATTGTTATGTATGTGCCTGAGACATGGTCTTGCTATGTAGCACAGGCTGGCCCTGAGCTCCCTTCCTCTTGACTTTGTCTCACATGGGCTGGGATTCAAGGGTGTACTACCTCACTTGGATCTGCCCTTTCAAATGCAATTTCATACCTTTTCTCCCCAGAATAGTAGAATATTATGCTCCATCTAGAATTTATGGGCTTGTCACTAGACTTTAAAGTGCATGACATGAACAATATAACGACTTTCTCTCCTGAAAGACCACTTGAAATTGTATGTGTGAAACTATCTTTTTTTTCTTTTTAAAGAGCCCATGAATGGCTTTGGGTTTGTGCATCTTGTGTGTGATGGTAGCATCAGTAGCCTTGTGGTAGAGCCCTGGGGGCTGAGAGAGTAGGATGGAGGAGACAGGAAGTCTCATGGCCTACCAGAATGGGCGTTTTCTTCCTGTACAAATCTCCAAGTCAAGGTTTGGTAACTCATTCAGCAGTCTCTGGTTGTCACACTAGAGGATGGTAGAGAAGGACATTTGAATCTTGGCTCCATCATGCATTAGCTGGGTGATCTTGGCCCCTGCGACTTAACTGTTTGTTTTTCTGTTTTAATTCTATATTCTTTAGCAATGTATTTAGATTATACCCACCCAAATTCTCCTCTCCAGTCCTCCAACTTCATCTTTATTTCTTTATCCCCATTCTCCTCCTTCACAACCCACGGAATGCAATTAGTGCTGCCCGGAAGTGGGAGCCATTCATTGGGGGCATGGGCAGTCTACCAGGGCCCATTGGCTGAAGAAAACTGACTGACCTTCCCTCCATCAGCATTCATCATTAGCATGAGACCCATTAGGGTCTCATGTACCTCTCACCTACCCATTGGCATGCTGACGGGCTCCATCTTGTGCAGGTGTGTATAGGTAAGACAGTTACTGTGAGTTCATGAATGTGTCAGCCTTCTCATGTCTAGAAGACACCACTTTGGGGCATTCCTCCCCAACCTCTGGCTCTTACTATCTTTCTGTGATGTTACTTAGCCCTCTACACCTCGTTTTCCCCGTATGTGAAAAGTGTATAGTAATGAGACAACCTTACAGCGTGGTCACACTAAGCCACAGGCAGTCAGCAGGGACACCACCATTCCCACCACTGTAATTTACGATTACAGCATCATTAAGCTATCCTGGGCTTTGTGTACTTGCCCTAGGGATGGCTTCGGAAAATCAACCTGGTTTCTGGAAGCTCTTCAGGCTCTCTGGGAAGCTTTGTCCTTTCCATTCTGTCTGGTGATGACAGGGATGATTTTGAAAGCGTTTGGTCAACGGCATCCATAGAATGGTCTGTAATTTTTACAGGGCTGACGCACTAGCTCTCATTTGATTTTCAGAATGACACTATGAAACAGTCCCAGGTGATTTCATATTTGCATTAGGAAGAGGATGCTCAATCTGCAGAGACAGGTTCCCAGAAGCCGCCTGTCTGTACTTCGGCTCTTGGTCTTCTGGCTTCCGGTTCCGTTGTCTCTACTAGGTTGTGGTCTTAACTACATCTTAGCCTTTTCTTTTTTCTTTGATTCTGCAAAAGCTAGGAAACCACATAGACACAGTCTCATAGTTTTCATATGATTTCTGGAGTTCAGATTCCTATGAGGTTGTTGGCAAAATCCTTCGACATTTTCCAGACCCAGCCTGAGATGTCCGTGTGTCTGTTTTTGTTGTGATTCAGGGTTGAAACCCAAAATTCAAGGTCTAGGGGTCTGGAGAGATGGTTTATCAGTTAAGAGTGTATACTCCTCTTGCAGAGGACCCAAGCGTGGTTCCCGGGACCCATGTAGGGTAACTCAACTGCTATAACTCCAGCTCCTGGGGATCTCATGCCTCTGGCCTCTCTGGGCATCTGTGCTCAAATGCACATACCCCCTCCCCACACATATAGATAGTTAACATTAAAATAAGTCTTAAAGGAAGAAATTGAGGGGTTGTAGACTCCGAGATGATCTATGGCAGCCTGCTGGACTGCCAGTCCTCTGGATGATTCCCTTCCTTACCACCCGTATTCATTACTTATCTGTAGCTTTAATACGACACTGTGCCCAAGGCAACTTATGTAAGAATTTATCTGGGCTTATGGTTCCAGAGGGATAGGAGTCCGTCACGGCAGGGAGGCACGGCAGCGAACAGCAGCCAGGAGTAGGAAGCTGGAGCTCACGTCTCCAAATGCAAGCCAAGGCAGAGAGGGCAACCCGCAAGCAGAATGAGGCTTTTAGTCCCAAAGCCTACCTCCAGAGACAAACTGCCTCCAGCAAGGCCACACCTCCTAAGCCTCCCCTGCCGCCAACTAGGAAACAAGAGTCCAAATGCCTAAGACGGCGAGGGACATTTTTCATACCACCATACGTCCCTACTCAGCCCGAAGTCTGGCCCTAGATGCTAACGGGTTGCTTGGGAGTCTGCATGGTTCACGCCACAGTTCCTGTTTGAACTTTGACTGTCCTCCTTTACAGCCACTTCCATGTGACACGGATGGAGAAGATGAGCCTTTCCGGAGCCTGTTTGAGGAGTTTGCAGGCAAGGTGAGCGGAGGGCAGGTGCCTGGCGTGCTGGGCAGCAGCAGCTCAGGTCACGCTTGTCTGCACTCCCTCGGGTCTGTAGGAGTGCAGAGGGCCAAGGCGCAAACTCTGGGTCTCCAGCCTGTGCCTTTCATTTGCCACTCCATCCTGTCTGAAGCCGGCAGGCTTTTCCTGTGTTTTGGGGAGAGAAAGAGAGAGTAACTATTGTCCAGAGGCCACTTTTCTTCCTGCGTTGACTGACTTGAGAAAATAGAAAAGCCTAATATCCAGGTCTCGCCAAAAGCCTTTCAGTTTGTAAATTGGTCCTGTCAGATGGGGCCTCTGACTAGAAAGCCAGGGCAGTGTGACCTCTTTAAATCAATAGCCTTCAGAGGTGGAATTGCCCAGTCTCAGCAGGAGGCCACTCAGTTAACCTGCCCTGGGAATAGAGACTCAGCCCGGCCCACTGGAGACCAGCGGTGCTGTGGAATCTAAGCCTGTCTCTGGTGTGTGTACGAATGTGATTATGACCAGGGTATGCACGGCTGTGCACGCCCCCCCACCCCCCTCCGTTTCTTCCCCCCCTGCCCTGCTGTCCAGCGTTCATTTTGATGCCAGTCATTCAGCAGTCATAAGTTTGAGCTCACCTGAGACCCAGTGTGGCCTCACTGGCCTCATAGAAATTGAGGATCCTTGATGGGTCGTGAAGTGCTAAGAAGACCCTGAGAAGGGAAAAGTCCTACTTCCTACCTCACCCCCACCTCCAACCCCACTGAAGCTCCAAGAGACTTTCTGGACTTAAAAATGGTGCAGTGGTCTGTCATCCTAGGTATTTGGGAGTCCGAGGCTGGAAGCTTGCATGAGCCGGGAGTTTGAGGACAGCTTGGAATATGTGGTGAATCTTCTGTTGGGGTGTGTCTGTGGTGCGGGGGAGACAAGAGAGGAATGGAAAAACACAAGATATACCAGAAACCTTTGCGACAAAGGGAAGCAACCCTGCGAGCAGCCCCTCTGTGTAGCCATTGACAAGCACTCCCACAGAATACATCACTTTGCTTTACGCTGATGCTCAGGCCAGTATTTTTTCCCAGCAGAGGCTTGTTTCCTCAGCTGCCAAGGGGCCATGTTTTATTTAGCACATCCAAAACACCAGAGGGGGGAAAAAACCCTCCATTGTTTGTAGATCTCTTCCTAAGTTTGCCTTACGTTTCTCTCTGGTTGAGGGGTGATGGAGAGGGGACACGGGGCACCATCCCCTCCACTGCTGGTAAAGTGACAGAGGGTTAAGGTGGTCCAGGGTCACAAGGCCTCATGAAGGTCACAGCCAAGGTCCAGTATGGACTCTGAGCATCCCATTTCTTTCATGGTAGGTGAATGAGATTTTTCTCTTCAGAGGTTTTCCAGAGGGGTCTCTGGTGTTTCGACAGAACTAACCACCCTATGCCCCAGAGAGACTATCCGGAGACATTGCTCTGGGCAGTTTTGGTCTCACCTTTCCAATGCTAGGACCTGGCTGGGGCACTGCAGGAGGACCAGAGTGACCGGGCTAAGGTCACAGTGTGAAAAATGGGCAGAGTCTAGATTGGAACCCAGCTCACAGCCCACGGCTTCTACTGTGACCCCTGACCCTCACCCTGCGTGGGGCTTATCTTCTATTGGATGTTAAGACGTGCATCTCTCTGGCTCAGTGTTCACACCAAATATACATGGGCTGCTTCATTCCCTGAATCCAAGTTCCAGCCTGAAATGTGTTCCTGCATGGAATAGCAGCCCCCACAGGTGGGAAATCTGGCCAAGACTTGGTGCTTGCGAGCCCCAAGCCATTACAGTACAATGATACATGCCGCTGCGTGTGTGTGCAGTGATTAGCAGTTTCTACAGTCATGGCTCTTTAACTGTGGCAGGGATGCAGCTTTTTAAAGATTTAATGATGCCGCAGATAGGGCATGTGGTACATCAGTGCTAGTTCCCACTGTCATTACTTGTCACGCTCTGTTCTCTGACGAAGCAAGTCCCAGGAAGCACAGCGAGGGGCTGGGCTGGCAGCCCTCTGTGGAGCTAGGCGCCAAGCGTGTGCCATCGACATCTCTCCCTCTTCCCTATTAACCCTTCTGTGCTCTTCCAGGCTGTTGGACCCCAGAGGAAATGGGGAAGCTGAGTTTCTAAAAATATCACATGCTTTGAAAAATCAACGGGCTGGTGGACCTGGAGTCTGATCGGGGAGGGAGCGCTCCATTAATTGGATGCCATGAAATAACTGGTTGGGTCCTGACACAATCCATATTTGGGCTCTTTGTAGGATTCTGAGATCAGTGCTAATCAGCTCAAGAGGGCCCTGAATGGAATGTTTTCTACACGTGAGTTCCCCTCTGGGTCCTATCAAAAAGTCCATGGGCATCCAAGAGAGGTGCGAGGTGGGGCTGAGAGAGGGGGTAGGCAGAGATTGGCCAGAAGTACCCCAGGTAGAGGGGAGGGGTTCAGGCTACCTCTGACCTTAGAGATCCTGATTCTGTCTGGTAAAGCAGTATCTGGCCTGTAGGAGAGGCTGGGGAGGAGGTGGCATTGGGAGAGGTGAGACTCACTGGTAAGTACCCAGACTCTGCAGGACAAAGAATCTTGACATCAAATGCAATTATCTGTTAAGTCCTGAGAGCAAGGAAGCTGGGCTGTGTTTGATTTATGTGACACTTTCCTACAAAATTAATGTTGCCTGAAGATCCTTTACTGTGCTTCTTTGGGGATGTAGGTGGGAGGGGTGATTCTGACTGTTCTTGCCTATATTCAGTTGCTCAAAGTTTCAGATTTTGCTAGCCTTGGGGACCGCCCAAGTGTCCAACTGTTCCCTAAGGAGGGTATGGCACCCTATTTCAAGCCTTAGCCATTGGGGCCAGCATGGAGTCAGCCACTTTCTGTTCTGGTCCAGGCATGGCCAGGATTAAGTTGTTCAACTGCTTGGGTGATGGGCTCTCATGCTAGCCCAGAGACAGACAGGGGCCTGAGCAGTGTCCTGGGGTTCAGCTAGCTTAGCATAGCCCTTCTGCTCTCTGCTCTGCTCTTGTGACATTTAAAGGATGCATGCTCTATGTCTCAGAGCAGAGAGGAAGAAGGGACTGCAAGGTCTTTAGCACCCAGGTGAAGGTGGAGGGCAGGGATGTCTGGAGCTCCAAAGAGATGCCTGTGACTTAACAGTGATAGCTTCCTTGAGCCACTGTGTGTTGTGACTGTGGAGCCAGGTGGCTGATGGTTAAAACCCAGCTCTGTTCCCTACAGGTCAATGACTTTGAGCAAACTGTAGAAGATCCCTGGGCTTCAGGGTCCCTGTTTATAAAATGAAGATGATGATAACATCTGCCAAGCAGGATTATTCTCAAGAGTAGATCATATAGTGACAGGGAGAGCCAAGGAGGGCCTGATGTGGGGATGGAGAGTAGGTAGGTGGGCTTACACCAATATCCTGGTAACAAAGCAGAGCTGTTCTAGTAAGAAATTAACACACTTCACTTTTCATACCACAATGCTCAACCAGTTCTTGGTTGCAAACAGCATCATTATCACCATTGTATTTCCATTTGATGAAATAGAAAGTGAAACTAAAGCTTACAAACATAACTCTGTGCTAGCAAGGCTGAGGCTCAGAGGATGGAGCGTAGTGGCAGTGCTGGCCAGCACTGATTCCTAGGGTACCAGGAGGCTGGCGGTATCTGTCCTCGGTCTCCCATGATGCTCTCACCTTTTCCATTGAAGCTGTACTCTCTGATGGCCGCCTACTGTCTAGATCATTTATTTTCCCCGTCTTCAGACAACCCCGATTCCCACCTTCTTTTCTTTTTAAATATTTAGGAACAGACATGAAATTTGATGGATTCAACATCAACACTTGCAGAGAAATGATCAGCCTGCTGGATGTATCCTTTAAATGTCACATCTTTTTTTCCCTTCTGTTTTAAAGACTCCTCTACCTTCTCTGAGTAAGGAGGGAGAGCAGGGGAGAAACTGAGAAAGGAAACACATTTACTGATCATGTCAGGAATTGTGTTTGAGCTTTAAAAAAAATGCATCGTTTTGTAGATTGTCTTTACCACACTCCCAGTTATTAGTAAAAAACCAAGATATTCCATAGTTGAGTACCAAGCCTAAAATTATGGAACTTAGAGACAGCAAGTGGAGGTATTTGCCTCCTTCTTCCTCCACACTGTGCTGATCTCAGTGCCTCCACCTGCTGAAATTCATCCAACTCTCCATCCTCACCCAAACCCCTCCTCGGCTCTCCCCATCACTGTATAATCTTTGTTTCAGACTCTCAATATGGCCTTTGGATATCCACTACCAATAGTTTAGGATTACGGTACCAGATAAAACCTATTTGCTCTCTCTGATCTAATCTCCTATTGAAGAACAGTCTTTGCAGTGTTTGCCAGAACACTATTTCACAAGACCTTAAACTGTGGCTTATAAATAATAGACATATCTTACAGTTTGAGGTGCCGGGAAATCTAGGATCAAGATGTGGCAGCGGAGGGCTTGTCTCCTGGTTCCTGGCTGTAGCTTCACAAGGTGGAAGGGGATTTTTTCTGGAATTACCTTTTATAGAAGCACAACTGCATTCATGAAGGGTTCCCCTCTGGGACCCAGTTACTTCCCAGAGGTCCCATTTCCTGATACCCTCATGCTGGGCTTAAATGTCAACACATGGATTTGGGGGACATAACTAATCTATTATAATGGGTAGGAGTTTTCATGATGAATAGAGAAAAGACATTCTACATGTCAGGGAAGTTCTGTAGGAAGGTGCAGGGCACTGATGGCTCAACAGCATTTCCTTAAGCTTTGCCTGGAACACGTCCAGGTGAATTTGCCACTTACTGGTGGTGAAGGTGAATCCTTTATCCTAAGGAGGCTCTCCTCAGTTCTTAGGGCCTCATTCATGATGAGATCTGGCAACTTACTACAGGATCCCTTTATCAGCCCCAGAGAGGACAGGAAGAGTGACTTTCCTTTGCACAGGGCAGGGTTTGTGCACAGTCATAGCAGTGGAGTGTGTGCCAATCTGTGCCCAAGTCATCACTGTAGATAGGTGTGCTATCTAGTGGCCCTGGAGCCCCAAGTGGCCAATAGCTGAATAGTGCTGAAGCCCTTCTGTCCTTGTGTCCTTCCATTGGGGAGTGTGGTTAATAGTTCAACCTGTGGTCACAGAAAACTGTTTGGTTCACTTTGCTGTGATGAGGTCCTTGGTTTCAGAATCATTCTCATCAAAATTTTCTGTTGATTCCAATTCAGATTCGGATTTTGTTGTAGTTACCTGCCCATGTTCCCAGTGGCACCATATCTCTTATGGCTGCAGAGGATGCTGACTTGGTGACTCTGTCTTCTTCTGGAGTCTTTGCTCCAGTATGGTATAGCACTTGAATCTCCATGCACAGTGAAAATGCCCGTGCAGATTTAGAAAGATGACAAGTTTGTTAAGATGTGGTTCATATGTAAGAATATGCTTAGTTGGGATGGGCACTTCCTTCTGTGGCTTTTATTAGATTTGGAGTTGTGTAGCCATCACCTGGTTTAGAACACTTTTGCCCACCCCCCACCCCCCAAATCCTGCACTCATATTAACGGTCACTCTTTATTCCCTATCCTCCATGGCAGCTACTACTATATGGTGCTTCCATTAGCATGATGTTTAAAGTACTAGAACACACATCAGTATCCCCTCACCCATGGAAACTTGAAAATGCCAGCACTTAGATATCAGTCCTGGAGACCCTGACTCAATAGGTTGGTCATCTGGACTTCGGGACAAGCAAAGGTTCAAATTCTGTCTTCCTTACTTATCAGATATATAAATTTGGAGAAGTTACTAAATGCTTGCACTGTCAGGGTCTTTCCCTAGAGAAGAATGGAATAAGAATGTGTAGTTTGTACAGCCATTGTGGGGTGATATGAGATGCAAGCATGGGAAGTGCCACGACTCAGGCTGCTGTTTCCCTGAGCTCAGTACCCTGCCAAGAACGGCTGTTTGTGTTACAGTAAGGGTGTGAACTGTGGTCCAGCCAACATTCAGTTCTTTGTGTAGACATGTTGTCTGTGTTACAGTGAGGGTGTGAAGGACGTGGTCCAGCCAACATTCAGTTCTCTGTGTAGATTGGTTGTTTGTGTTCCAGTGAGGGTGTGAGCTGTGGTCCAGCCAACATTCAGTTCTCTGTGTAGAGTGGTTGTTTGTGTTACAGTGAGGGTGTGAAGGATGTGGTCCAGCCAACATTCAGTTCTTTGTGTAGAGTGGTTGTCTGTGTTACAGTGAGGGTGTGAAGGATATGGTCCAGCCAACATTCAGTTCTCTGTGTAGAGTGGTTGTTTGTGTTACAGTGAGGGTGTGAAGGATATGGTTCAGCCAACATTCAACACTAATCAGAGATAGAGCCTGAGACTGGATGCTCTGAAAGGATGAAAATGTTAGTCAGCCTTCCATGATTTTAATGGAATATCTTAGACAATGAACTTGTCATGGGAAAGGTTTATTTGAGTTTACAATTTTGGCTATTTTGGCCTATGATGAGGCAGCACTCAATGGTGGAAATGAAATGGACCATTTATCTCATGGCATCCAGGAAGTAAAAGAGAGAGAAGAAGAGGAAGAGGCAGGGTCCAACATCTCCTGCAGGGGCATGCCCTGATGACCTGTGGTGTTCCACTAGACCTATATCTTCAAAGTTCTACCACATCCCCAGAGTGCCACCCTGGGCACTGATCCTTTATCAAGTAGACCTTTGGTGGTCTCTCTAGATCCAGACTGGAGCAGAGAGAGAGCTTTACACTCTTGGGTGCAGACTGGACTTCTATTTGGCTGTCTAACATACATGGGGAGGATTGATGGTCTGTTCTGTAACACAGTGGTGTTTATTGATTTATTGTGATTGTGAGAAAAGAGACTGAAATTTATGAGTGTAAAGACAATTTAAAACCAAACTCACATGTCTAGTTCTGCACTCAGTAAGTACTCTTGGAAGGAAGATAAGTCGGGTATGAAAAATTCCACATGACCTCCCCCCACATAAATACCTCTTTTGGTTTTGTTATGGCCTTTGAGAAGACCCTGTGGTTGCAACACCTGGTAATTTTTTTTGACATTCTGACAATACTAACGTGATTTGAATGAGAAGTTGCACAATCACAGAAATTTTAGTCCGGAAGTGAGTGTATAAGTCACGTAGCTCCACCTGCTGTCATCCGGGATAATGAGGGTATGATGGCAGGTAGTGTTGATGTTAGGAGGTTTCAGGCTGCTGGTTTGCTCTTCATTCCCACCTCTGTGCCTGGCCTCTGGAGTGAGTATTTAACTTTCTAATCTTATTTTGAGTTTGCTTCCCACTCTCACCCCATTGTGTGGCTTGCTTCAGACACGAAGGTCCGCTAAGGTTTTAAGGCACTCATGTGAGCTCCTAAGAGAAAGAAACTCACTGATGATTCAGGGTTTGTTTGTGTTGGCCTTTAACAAGCTTAGACGGATGGTACCGGAAGCCTGGGACCTGAGGAGTTCAAGACACTCTGCCTGAAGATTCACAAGTATCTGGTAATTAATTCTTTTCTCTCTCTCGGGAGAGAAGGGCATCTCCCTGGGCCCCATCCCCTTTCCTCCCTTCTGACCCTCTATAATACTCATCCCTGGACTGTTCTAGACCCTGGTCTATCCAGACTCTGGTCAAAACCATCCAAACCTGGACACATTGTTCAGAAGGGAGCCTGAAGGCAGTGGCAGTGAGAGACGCTGATGTCAGCCCTTCTAATGAAAGTCCCATTCAGAGGACCTCTAGCCCTGTTTCTATTTGTTCGGAACTTCTTTGAAGATGTCAATACAGTCTTAGAGTGCATCCTTGGCCTCCCGAGAGAGGTGTAGAGTGGGAGGAAATTGTTGCCCAGGGCTATGCTATTCTCCATGTGCAATTTCTCTCTGGCTTCAGGAGATCTACAAGGAAATGGACCACAGCCATGTAGGGACCATTGAGGCCCATGAAATGAGGACGGCCCTCAAGAAAGCAGGTGAGGACCTGTCCTGTAGGAGAGGTCTTAGGCCCAAGTTGGACCCACTGTAGATGTTTTCTTCTCATGATGATAGTGGTTCAGGGTCATCCCTGAGAGCGTTCTTACATTGGATACCAGTGTGTCAACAAAGCCTTGCTGAGGATCCATCCTCTCCTGGAAGGGGAGGATACGGCAGTGTTCCGCACTCTGCCTGTCACTGAGGCAGTGACAGCGGTTACAAGGTGTAGAGCTCTGCAGAGGCTCACGGACACTTTCTTACTTGCACTTCCTGTGGTTGTGTAGTTATGACTGTCCTAGAGCTGAGCTGGTGCTGGGCCAGAGAAGGAGCTGGTGAGACATCCCCGAGAGTGGAGAGGCTTGTTGGCAGAGAATCTCCCGGGCCTCCCTGGAATAAGCTGAGTAGTCCTGATTTATGGATTTACACAGGCTCCTGGAGGGTCCCTGTGACGCCAGCACCTTGCAGTTTATCCGAAAGATGCTAAGACCTTTGTAGCACCCGTGACACAGTCTCTCTCTGCCATCAGGTTTCACTCTCAACAACCAGGTGCAGCAGACCATTGCCATGAGGTATGCGAGCAGCAAGCTTGGCATTGACTTTGATGGCTTTGTGGCTTGTATGATCCGCCTGGAGACTCTGTTCAGTAAGCCTCGGTTTTTTTTTAGCCTCGATTCTTTTCCTCAGAGACACAGAGCATTGAAGGGGCCAGGCCAGGAGGTGAGGTCTGACAGTGCCTTTGGAGCCAGGGGACTAAGGAAGTAGAGATGAGATTTTTTTTTGTAACTTTGATACTCAGGAGGAAAGGGAGGTAGATACTTTAGGGGCTACAGATGTCTGGGCTGGTCACATCTAAGGGCCAAGGTTGCTTTTCCTTGGAGACCTGGAGACCACTATCCTGATTATTGAGCTATATGAAGTCACTAGGTCAAGGCACTGAGTCTCTTAAGGGTCCTGTGTTAGGAGCTTATGGTGTTTATTCATCTGTATGGCACCATGAGGGTCATTTGAGAGACTGTGCCACCTTCCAGGAAGAGGGTGGGCTCCCTCGAGAAGGCAGTAGCTGGATTTCTTCCTTGGACCTTGGGGTGCTGTTATCTTATAATCAGTATGTTATCTTTGAAAGGGAGGGGACCTTCCTTTCACTGGGAGAGTGCAAGGTGGGAAGCCTTAGGGGCAAAATCAGTTGGCCAGAGATAAAGCCAAGGGACTGGACGATCTGCAACCCACTCACCAAAGAACTGCCAGTTTCCTGGCTGAGCTTCTGAAGGTGAAGACCCAGAGGAACCGTCTCTGCTGACACCTTGGTCCATCCATTCAGTCTGGGAGACACCTGCTGACACCAGAGCTCGCCCTGACTGCTGTTCCCTGGGGTTAGATGAGATCTGGGGGGCATGGGTGGAGGGCGTGGGCTGGCCAGAGATGGCTCTCTGAGGTTCCAAAACCCAGAAACAGACCTGACTGACTTTCTTCCTTCTCTGGTGTTTCAGAACTGTTCAGGCTTTTGGACAAGGACCAGAATGGCATTGTCCAGCTCTCCCTGGCTGAGGTAAATGAGCTGAGATTTAAGGAAGTCCTGGTAGACAGAACTCTGAAATCCCTGGACAGCATAGGGGCTAAGCTGTGTTTATTCCTATGAACCAGCTTATTGCCATGGAAACCCCCGCATGTTCTGTGGTGGGCATGAGGAGAAGGAATGGGACAGTCTCTTAAGGAGTGTGTTAAGCATTCTAATTAATTAATATAATTTAATCAAGTGCCTCCCTCTTGACTCTTTCATCCCTTTCTTTATCTTAAGGATAAAGTAATAGCTAGCTGTATCTAAAATCATTTCAAAGAGGCAAACTCTTGTTAATGTGGACGCACTTGTACGTGCATGTGTGTCTGGTTGTGGGGAGTAGACATAATTTAAGATGCCTGAATTCTGCGACTTCTGAGTTGACATACAGGATGGCACTGGAAGCCAAAACTGAATCTCCAACAAGGCAGAATGAAGGTGCAGAATAAGCGAGTGTTCCCGCTGTGCACAAGTCACACCATGCTTTATGCAGGAAGTATCAGTCCCTGCCTGTAAGGGGCCTGCTTGGGATAATGGAGGCTGTCACTTCCTGCTAGGAAGGGCCGGCGGGGAACAGGAAGTGTGGACATGCCCCAACGTTCCAACTTATGAGGCAGCATTGGCCTCCGATCTGCTTCTGGGGCGGTGGAGCTAGAGAACTGGGTTATTACCATCCATGCCATGGTAGAGGACTGGGTTATCACCCTCCTGCCATGGTGGAGGACTGGGTTATCACCCTTCTGCCATGGTGGAGGACTGGGTTATCACCCTCTTGCCATGGTAGAGGACAGGGTTATTACAATCCGTGCCATGTTGTCTGACTCCAACTGCTTTTCATTGTTTTTGTGAATGAAAATGGCATTGAGTACTTCCTAAGATCAAGGAAAAGCTTTCTTTGTAACATATCTGTGGGTTCCTATAGACACTTGGAGACTAGTGTGTGTAGAATGAAGTGTTCATGTAGAAATATACAGATACATATAAGAACATATACACACACATATATGAAATACAGATATAAATGCAGGAATATACATATATAGGGATGCATATAAATATATTTGAAATAGACATAAATGTAGGAATATATACATATATGTAAAACATAGAGACATAAGAATATAGGAATACATATATAAGGATGAATGTATGTCTGTAACAAAATATATATATAATTATATGAATATAGTTCTCCTTTATGAGCTTTTGTTTCCAGAACCCTCCTAAGACACCTGGATGCATCAGACCTTTGCATAAAATGGCAGTGTTTGTATAGGACCGATATCCATCCTCTTGCACACTCTACATCCCCTCTAGACTATAATTGATGCCTAATAGAATGCTGATGCTGGTTACAGAGCTGTTTTCACCATAATGGTTAGGGAGTCAACGACAAGGAAAGAAATTTGTTCCTATTCAACACAGATGCAATTCTTTCTTTGTAGAGTTTTAATTTGCCCTTGGTTGAATTATGAATGCGGAACTTGCAGATCGACAAGACCCATTGTATTGTACTCATTGACACACCTCCTTTTGGAAGCCCCTTTTGGGTATAGAGTTTTTTTCCTAAGTCATGTTTCCTGTAGTGCTCTGAGTTGATAAGTCACTAGCTTCCTGTAAGTGAGCATGGCACTGGCTGGAGGGTGGAGCTGTGACAAGTGGTGGCTCACAGGGCAGGAGGACATCTGTGGCCACAGCCCACATGCTCCCTAGAGGCCGCGCACTGACTCTGTCTCTTCTTTTGCAGTGGCTGTGCTGTGTGCTAGTCTGACCTGCTGTTTCAGACGTCAACAACTTCCCTGCATTCCGCTCGTCTCCTTGCAATCTTAAGAACACGTATACTCAAGTGACATTTTCTGATTGTTGTATTGTTCCAGCTAATCATTGTTCCTGAGACACTGGTCTGTCCCAACAGAGCAGGCTGGGGAGCCCCAGATCTCTCAGCAGCACAGAGCTATGAGCTATTTGAGCTGATCCCAGGGCCCGGTGGAAGGAAATCAATCAATTAAAGTTGTGGGCCAGAATGGTTTCTGCCTTCCTCTGGAGACATGCAATGCTGAGGGCAGCCTGGGCTTTTCATGCGATGGGGAAAGATAGGAGTCTAAGCTACCAGAAGGCTGAAAGGATGGACATTTCCTTGGAGGGGAGACCTGCTGGGAGTAGGCCTGCTTCTGAGGGTCCTTGGGGGAAAAAGGCAGGGTTTTAGCTCTGCCAAGAAAGGGCACAGGCCTCTCTAGAGAAAGTGTGTCACTGGGGGTGGGCTGTAAGAGCTTCAATTGTGCTTGTGGTTCAGGATTCGGGCCCTCGGCTTCCTGCTCCTGCCACCGTAACTTCATTCCATCATCGGAGACACTCACCCTCTGCAACCATAAACCTAAATAAGCCCTTTCTTCTCTATGGTGCCCTGGTCATGGCAATTTGTCACAACAGCAGCGAAGTAACTAATACACCTGTCTACACGCTGAGACGCTGTGACTGTGGTCTCAATATTCTGTCCAATTTCAAAAGTCCCCATAGTCACAACAGCCCCAATACTGTTCAAAAAATTTAACATTTCTTCTGAGACTTGAGGCAAACTCTTAACTGTGAACCTCTACAAAAATAAACAGGTTATAAACTTTCAATATATGGTGGCACAGAGGGAGGGATGGGAGGCCAGTAAGGAGAGATTAGAACAAAGCCAAACAAGGAAAACACTAGATTATAGAGCTCCATGTCTGGCATATGGGACATATAGTGACATCATTTGAGTTTCAAGTGGCTGGGGTAGCCCCTCCCCAGCTGCCTCCAGTACACATGGGCTCCTTTTGGGGCCACCTCCAACTACTGCCTCCAGGTTTTATCAGCATACGTCACCTGCTCTTGGTGTTTCCAGTGTCCTGGAGCCTCCACTGAAACTTGTTCTTCACCTTTACAGCCTACTCAGGGGGTCTGTGTAGGGAACCCAAGTCTGCTGCACATTTCCTGGCCTTGGACTTTTCTCTGGAATCTCATAGCAAAGCTCCACGACATTTGCATTCTTTGCACTCAGCTCCACGTGACAACACTCATTTTTGTTACCAACCCAGGATATGGCCAAGATTCTAAAGATGATGGTGGCAGTGGATTCTGCGTACCTCAAAGCCTGGGGAAGTACTTCCTGACTGGCCCTTTAGGCATTCTTTTATAGACACTCTCATTTCACACAAAAGTCTTTCAAATGGGTGTTTATGCCCTGTAGTCTTCAATAGGTGGGATCTTTGCCTAGAGGGTTGCTCTTGTACCAGGGCAAAGGGCTCAATTTGTCTTTAACAAATGCCATGGCTTTGCTTGCAACATTCAATGGATTCACTACTTGAACTATATTCAGACTCCTTTGCCGAATGTTTAACAAATCCTTCTGCTCTATTGTGGCGGCTTGAAAGAAAATGGCCCCCCAAGGGAGTGGCACTATTAGGAGATGTGGCCTTGTTGGAGGAAATGTGACACTGTTGGGGGGGGCGGGCTTTGAGATCTCAAGCTTCTCTCAGTGTGACAGTTGACTTTCTGTTGCCTCTGGGTCAAGATGTAGCACTCTCTGCTCCAACACCTCATCTGCCTGCACATACCATGCTCTCTGCCATGATGATAATGGTCTGAACTTCTGAAACTGTAAGAGAGCCATCCCCCACCCCATTAATGTTTCTTTACAAAAGTTGCCATGGTTATGGTGTCTCTTCACAGCAACAAAACACCCTAACTAAGACATCTACTCTTTATTTTCAGTGGTTCTCACTATAAATCTGGTTAAAAACAGCCAGTGATAACCATGCCACAGCCTGTGTGCTGTGCTGGCTTGGAATTTCCTTTATGAGATAAATTAATCCATGACTTTTGAATTCAGCTTCAATTAAAGACATGGGTGAAATCCATCCAGAGTCTTTGTCAGGGTGTAACATGAATGACCTTGAGTCCTGTTCCCAATATGGTCTTCCTATCTATCTGAAACTTTATGAACACAATCCTTACTGCCAAATTTCTGTTGGCATTCTGATCTTCCATTTAGCAGAACTTACACCACTCTAGCCATTCTCTAGCCTGCATTTCTAAATTCTTTTAAATTTCTCCTGCAAAGCAGTTCCAAAGGCCAGAGAACCACACGGTCAGGCTTATTGCAGCAGTGTCCCGTGGTGGCTTTTCTCATAACCACGACAAGATCCCTGACATCAACTTCAAGAGAAAAGGTTTCTTTGGTGTCATAATCCCAGAAGTTTCAATCCATCCTGGTGGGGAAGAGATGGTAGAGTTCACCGTGATGGGAACACGTGGCCTGGGCACTTTATATCAGCATCGGACAAGAAGCAGAACAAACAGGTTGGGACCAGAACCATACAACCTCCAAAAGCACACTCTTGCTCCTAGTCAGTGCCCACATCCTAACCCTCTCAAAATAGTGCCACAAACTTGATGGTACAGGCCTGAAATTCCAACCACTTCGACGATGAAGCAGGCAAACTCCAGGCCCATGTGGGAGTTCAAGGACAGCCTGGACAATGTAGTGAGATTGTCACATAAAGTAAGAAGACCTCTGAGATGATAAGTCAGCGGCCGGAGGTGGTGGGGTTTGCCTAGCATGCAGGGAAGCCCTGGATTCAACCCCTGGTACTGAAAGAGAGGGTGAGGGGCGCAGCATGAGATGGGTGATTGAATGTTCAGACATGAGCCTGTGGAAGATGGTTCTGTTTTGTTGTCTGTTGCTATGACAAACACCACGACCGAAAGCAACTTGGGGAAGAGAGGGTTTATTTCAGCTTGGTGTTGCAGTCCATTGCAAGGATAAGTGAAGGTACCGCTCCTCTGCAGGTGGTCCTGGGTGCTATAAGAAAACTGGCTGAGTAAGCCATGGAAGGCAAGCCAGTAAGCAGTGTTCCTCCATGGCTTCTGCTTCAGTTCCTGCCTCCAGGTTCCTGCCCCGACTTCCCTTCAGGATAAACTGTGAGCTGAAGTAAATCCATCCCTTCTTAGGTTGCTTTTGGGAATGATGTTTCTCACAGCAATAGAGAGCAAAGCAGAATGTAAACCAGTAGAGAGTGGACTGCTGTGGTGAGAGACCTGGCCATGTTGCTTTGGGGGAGGATTATGGAAGTGTTTGGAACTTGGGCTAGAAATGCCATTAGTGCTCAGAGCTTAATGGGATGTTCTGTGGGATCTTGGAAGAGAATATTGAGAGAAATGCAAACGATAGAGGCCTGGCTTGAGTTTCAGAGGGGAAGCAAAGACTCTATCAGGGTTGTTCATAGAGTATTTTAATTAAGAATCTGTGGTTGCTGGAAAGCTGGGACAGAAGAATCAGCTATGATTAATAAGAGACCAGCAACACTGACATGAAAGCTTTGCTACATGGGGACAACCAACGCTAGTTAACTGAAGCTGAAAAATCAGTTGTGGTTGTGCTTTGATTGAAACTGTGCCCTGGCTCTCCCTTCTTGGAATAAGGAAGTATGTAACTTAGTTTTGATTGTGAAGGGGCCCACAATTAAAAGATTTTGGATACTTTAAAGAGACTGAACTTTTAAAGTACTTGAACTTTTAAAAGACTACGGGACTTTTAAAGTTGGATTGTTTTTTATATTGTGTATTAACTAGAGGTTTTGGGGATAAACAAGTAAGAAAAGGTTATGGTTTAGTAGTGATATGTTTGTGTCAGTTGAGTCCGTTGTCCTGGTTAGTGTCAGTTGCACATGAACTAGAGTCATTTGGGAAGAGAGAACCTCAACTGAGTTATTGACACCATCAGACTGGCTTGTGGACATGTCTGTAGGCATTTCTTCATTAATGTTTGACACGGTAGGGCCTAGTTCATTGTGGGCAGTGCCACCCTGGGCAGGTGGTCCCAAGTTGTCTAAGAAATCAAGCTGAGTGAATCTTGGAGAGCAAGCCAGTCAGTAGTGTTCCCCCCAGCTTCTCCTCAGTTTCTGCTTTAAGTTCCTGTTCTGCCCTCCTTTCATGATGGACTGTACGCTGTAAAGTGAAATAAACGTCTCCTCCCTGAGTTGCTTTTTGTCCTGGTGTTTGCTGCAGTCACAGAAAGCAAACCAAGACAACCCTGTTGACTACTGTTTGGTATTTACTGACTGCCTGTGTCCAGAAGCCCTGGCAACAGTGCATTGCAGCGTCTTCTTATGTCCTCCTTGTATTCAAGCCCCCAGTCCAGAGCTGTGGCTTGCTGTCATTGCCCAGCACTGTGAGAGACTGCCACACCACATTTCTCTAGCCTGGAAATAGATCGAAATTCTGAGTTCAATGTGTGGCATCTACTGAGTGTGTGGAGTGTTTAGAGACTGTGGCGTAGTTTTACGTGGCTGCATTATAATCAACTTGCAAGTATTTTGTTTTAAGCCTTCAGGCTTCACTTACTTTAGGGAATGAATTGGTAATAAAATCGTCTCATTACAAAAGTGGCATTTGCTTTGATGTCTTACATTCCACCACAAAGTGGGCTGAGGATCCCAGTGCTATAACTCCTGAGAGTTTGCTTCAGGCCTCCTTTCTCTGCTCTTCTCCCAGATGAAGGCATTAGAAACGTTGCTTTTAGGCATGGCCGCTCCCTTGCTCCTCGCTTTAGTTGGCTTTCTGTCACTATAATGAAATACTGAGACAATATATTTATAAAAGGAAAAAGTTTATTTTCTTTGTCATTCTGGAGGTTTGTATCCAAGATTTGGCAATCTCACACCTCTAGATCCCCGGGGACAGCAGCACATTGTGGTAAGAGCAAGCAGTGGAATGAACAAGTTCCACCATGTGCCAGGAAGCAGGGAGTGAGCTCCAACCCCTCTTTGAAGACACAACCTTAAGGGTCTCTCATAATATCTTACTTCCTGCAGATTTTACCATCTCTCAATAGCACTGCCTTGGGAACCAAGTCTCAAAATGTGGGGCTTTGAGGAATATATCCATACCCACACAAAAGCCTCCCTTAGATGTGGCTGCATCTCAGGAGACGTAGTGCCTCTACAGCATCCAGCAGTCCCCCATTGGAGCCCATGCCACACTTTATTGAACTAGCATGTTGACCTGCTGGCCTTCCACGTTTCCACTGGATAGTCTGTGGATGCAGGAATGGTGTTTTCCTGGTTCCCCACCCCCACCCCACACCTGAGCCTACTGCAGTGCCTGGCATAAAGCAGGCAATCGATGAGATGACATCCTTACCAGGGAAGAGGCTCTGACCATCAGGCACTTCATTTGGTTTCCGGGTAGAGAAGATGGGTCTCTACTGGTCCCATACAGATGACACAGGAGTTCACCACATCAGGAGCCCAGCCTGGATACAGTTGACACGCGGATGTTCTGAAGCCAGGACACTGTCCAATGTGAAGGTCATGCTTCTCTTGAAAACACGTGATACTTGCAAGGTCCCTGCTGAGCTCTTCCCTTGTCACCCCCACCACCAATGCCAGAAACAGAGGAAGTTGTAGTCCTGTGGGTTGACCCTCAAACCAACAGGTCTTTGATTTATGCACGTATTTCCCGAGAGCTCCTGGATTCTCCCACCTCCCATGAGGAGAATAAAGTAGTTTAGTGGGGTGCTTAACTCAGCTTGGAAGGACATAGGGGTGTGTGGAGAGTCAGGTTGCTCATCACTTATTGTACCTAATCCTCTCTTCTATTTAACCATTGACTTCACTTCTTAAAGGTACCATTTATTATTCACTAGTCAACAGGAAGAAACCAAGGCCACACACAAACCCCAGACTCATTGGAGCCCCCCAGGAACTGGGGAGCTGGCATCTTGGTGTCAGGCATTCCAAGGGTACCTGGTATTCTGTGCAGCTCCATAGCAGCAAGAACATCACACTGAGACAGTCTTGTGAATTAGCTTTCTCCTCACATCCTCCTGCCCAGGCAGGGCTTATTGTAATTATACTTAATCACAGAAGCAGCTTGGAGCGGGGCTGGGGAGAAGCAGACACACAGTCCATCTACAGGCCATGGGAGATTCTCCTGGGCTGGCTCTGCAGAGATGCACCTACATCCAACACATCTGGCCGAGAGCATCTCCACCTCACCTGGGTGCTCCCTCTCTGGCTCCCCTCCAATGGCAGTCCGCTCTTCAGTGTGTCTCTGGGACAAAGCCTTCTTTCTTATGTCAGCTGTTCATTCTCTGCTTAGCCAGGTTTCATCCCTCGACTTTCTTCTGTCCGACCTGCCTAGGTTCTCAGACGTCCATCATCTTTTCAGTTTTACACATAATTCTTGTGAGTCCCACCCACTTATAGCCCTGCCCTAGGACATGGCTGTCCTCCTATTCCATTGTGTTGTTCAAACCTTAGATGGTCTTTTAATAAAAACCCCAGAGCCAGATATTGAGGTAAAATCTGAAAGATCAGAGAAGCAGAACAGCCAGCCATTAGCTCTTACCACTATGAAATCCTCAGTCTAAAAAGAGTAAGTTCCTGTTTCCTCATGCCTTATATACCTTTCTCTTCCCAGACATCACTCCCTGGGATTAAAGGCATGTGTGCTTCCCAGTACTGGTATTAAAGGTATGTGCCACCACTGCCTGGCTCTGTTTCCAGTGTGGCCTTGAACTCACAGAGATCCAGATGGATCTCTGCCTCCTGAGTGATAGGATTAAGGATGTGTGCCATTACCGTCTGGCCTCCAAATCTAACCTAGTGGCTGGCTCTGTCCTCCCATCCCCAGGCAAGTTTATTAGGGTACACAATGTATCACTACACACTGCCTATCTATTCTTCTCCCACAAGCGCCCCGAGTTGTAAATGAAGTGTTTTCCATCTGCACCTTAATCATGTGACTCTGAGTCAGCAGTGTGGGTGACCTTATGACTTGTGAAACACACAGGGAGTGACCAAGTCTTCTGCTTATCCCCGACCTCTTTGATTTCAGAAAAGATATCAGCAGGACTCATTTAAGGGGACTGACTTGTCATTATTTTCCTATTTTTTAGTTTCACGTGACTACAAGTCCATCATTAGCATAGCAGGTGCCGTAGACTAGAGTCTGTGTCCCCTCCCCCAATTCATGTGTTAGATGTAGTGTTATTAGGACTAACTTTAGCATGGCTGTGGAACAAACACAAGTGGGTTGAACGTCCTTATAAAGGGGCCCCAGAGATCTCCCCGATTCCCCCGATAAGTGATGAGAGTAGAAAGCCAGACCTCTAGGAACGAATCTACGTTCACACCAGACACCAAATCTGCCAGCGCCACCACCGTGGACTTCCCAGACTCCAAAACTGTGAGGGATAAATCTCTGCTGGTACGAGCTGTGTGCCCTACAGCATTGCATGAGGACAGACTAACAAAGCGAGGATAGAGCAAAGTGTCTGTCTGGTGGGCAGCCTGAGCTTCCTGCCAGTACCTTCAGTCTTTGGGAAAGGACACGCTGGCCATATGCTGGTGGTGCTGCGTGGAGAAGGAGGGCCCCGCAGCGGGGGACAGGTGATGATGAGAAGTTTGCATCCCGTGGAGATGGATGCTGGCTCCTTATATCTTGGGGAGGCCTGTCTTGGTTCACCAGTTGCCTAAGGAAGGCCTTATTGGGGATCAGAAATAAGGCAGAGGCACTGTCCCCTCCACAGAGCGACTCAAAGCTGACGACGTGTCTCCTCTTTCTGTTACCCCTAATGCACTGGGGGAGTACAGGCACACAGGAAGAGCCTGAATTAACTGCCATCTACTGATACTTACAAACATTATATTCTGTCAAGACTGCTGGTGCAGGCCTGTAATTCCAGCTGCTCAGGAGAATGAGGCAAGAGGATCACAAGTTCAAGGCCTGCCTGGGCAACTAAAATAAAAGTAAAGGAAGTGTTTGGACACAGCTCAGTTGCTGTGTACTAGGATGTACAAGCTCTTGAGATACCGAACACTGTATATTGTGCTTATGTGCCTTTACCTGTAAACGTCAGTGCTTTCCTGGTGGCAGGACTCAACCCGGAGCCTCAAAGCCTCATTCTCGATAAGCAGATGCTCTACTACTCTGATATGCTACCAATCCATCTTCCTTCCCTCCCTCCCTCCCTCCCCTCGGTCCTCATCCTCCCCTTTCTCTCCCTCTTTCGCCCTCTCTTTTTCCTGCCTTCTTCCCTCTCTTTCTTTATGGTACTTGGGATGCCCCCTCGTGCTAGGCAAGTGCTCTGGTTGCTTGCGTCTCTAGCCATTTCTTTTGAGACGTGGTCTCCTTATGTAGCCCAAGTGGTCTCAGCCTCACTTATGCTACTGCCTCCAAATCCCAAGTGCCAGGATTATACACATGCATCACATGCCCAGCTTCCTATAAATTATTTCCTATAGGAAGTAGCATTATTATTTAGTTATGAAAGTATATAAAATACCATATGTTTATGGAAGTCTAATATGAATAAAATTGAGACAATAGTGTACCAAAGTCCCATATATTACCAAATACATTGAACAATTTTTTTTTTAATGTTTGGCAATATCTGTTTTTTGGTTCTTTTTTTTTCACTGAAGATATTTTTGCTAAAGTAAAATGTCAGCTATCATGCCATGGAATCTGACATTTTACTTTATTGCATGCTTCCCTGTGAAAAGACATTATACAGCCACAGCCCCTGATCCAATGCAACAAAATTAACAATAATTCTTTAATCACATTTACGAACTAATCTCCATTCAAATTTCACTGATTGACGCCAACATCTATTTCTTTTTTTATAGTTGGTTTATTTGGATGGAGATTCGAATACTCCCCTGTCATGCACTTCATAATCTACAACAGTCTTCCTTTTTTCACGCCCCTGAGTGAGTAAGGAATAATTGGAGTTTGAGAAGGGAATGCTGCCGATGTGAATTTGTTCTACAGGTTTGTTTCTTGGTCTAATTAAATCTCACACAGGGTTCCCATTCTATCGGCCCCCGATGCCCACACAGTGTGCTCCACAGGGCACAGCATAGTGGGGAAGGATGTCTCATTTTCACTCTGACAGGGATGCTGTCCAAGCCTGCCTATCCTCGGAGGTGGCCTCTGTCTCTGGGGCCTGATGACTGGGGACTGTCTGGGCTAAAAGCCCAGGGCCCACACCCAGTCTTTCTCATTTACTTTCCCTGAACCCCTCCTGAGGATGGGGAACAGGTCCTGCTGGGAGCATGTCCTTCCTGGCTTCTAAGAACTTCTATTTCCTTCCCACCTCGTTCTCAACCCCCCTCCCCTCTAGACTACAAGCTTTCAGACAAGAAAAGCCCCGAGCTGGGTAGAGTTCA